TGAAAAACTGAGACTCACTATATTTTTATTGTTGTTCTGGGTGAGATGGACAATGAGAGAGAAAAATATCAAGTATTGGGGGATAAGTTTGTTCTTGAAGTTGGGAAATATATAGTTCTTCAAATCAGTATGATTTAACTTTGTAATATCATTCCTCAAAAATAAATAAACTTTTTAATAATATCAGAGCAACAGCTGAAATTTTTTTTCTGTTATAATATTAAAAAACATGAAAAACGAAGAAACAGTTTAGAGAATTGGCTAAAGTTAAAACAAATGGATTAAGATAAAATTGACTCAATAACACTTGAGTTAAACATTCTTTAGTCAATAGTTTTCGTTTTATCATAGAAGAAATATTGATTTGTTGATATGCGAAAAAGAAACAAATTTATGAAATAAATAAAACATCCCTATTATAAGGAGTGTAAGGTGAGTATTTAGACAGGAGAAAAGAGTAAAAAAAATGACTCCAAAATAATCATTATGTTCCAATCTTAAACTTATGAGTTCCTTTCGTATTCAGTTCTTTTCCTTTTTTTGTTTAAGAAAAGTAGGATTGGGGGTGGGAAGTGGGCATGGAAATAATGGTGTCTGCTGCTGTTTGATTATGGTTGTATAGATCATTATATCGAAAAGGGAGTTTGATTGACGAAAATGGACACTAGCTAGGCAATAATATATCTTCAGCATCTCATAAGATTTCAAAGGAATGTGAAATTACGATTCGTCATAAAAGTTTACTTTTATATTAAATTTATCCAATAAAAAATAAACAGTGTGAAAAAAAGTGTAACTTTTACTACATGATCCTCTTATATATATATATATAACCGTGAACAGCCGTGAAAGCGCCATGGAAAGAGAGGTCTCTAGTGTGGTGTGGTGTGGTTTGTGGTGAAAACTAAATGAGATTGCGATGAAAAGGCGAGGTTGAGTATTTATCTATCACCATGAAATGCAGTCAAGTCGTCGCCTTTCTCTAACACTGTTTCGATGGAAATATCATAAAGAAAAAAGGCGAAGGATGTGTGTTAGGTAAAGGGAAATAAAAGAGAGGAAATTTTGTTTGACGTGGAACCTATAAAAGAAAATCATCTTTCCAGTTCACAAAAAACGGGGGTGCTGGCCATGGCTACAAATGTTGGATTTTTTTAAAATATTTTTTACATAATGAAAAAATATTAAAAGATTGAAAACATTAAGCAGTCTGTTTTATTTTTCATTCTACACCTAAATAAACTAAAAATAAAGAGTGTATTATTATTATTATTATTATTATTATTATTATTATTATTATGTTATGAGATAATAATAACAATAAAAAATTTTATATGAGAAAAAATATTCACCATTTGATTATTTATGTCTAGTTGTATGTTTTAATTTCTTTTTTTACTTTAGTATAAAAATAGATTTTTTATTATGAAAATTTACTTGAAATGTAAATAGTGTAATTTTTTTTATATTGCTATTTAATCATAAGTCACTATATGAATAAGAATAGTTAATTTTTATAATAATTAATTTAAAAATTATTGCTATAAACTAATTTAATTAGTTCATAGCAGAAATATTTTTATGTAAATAATATAAAATTTTATATTTTAACTATTTGAATAAATTTCTAGAAAAATTCTTATAAAAAAATAGTAAAATATTTTTCATAAATTAAAAACAACTCATTTTCTCAAATTTTAAAAAAGTTAAATAATAAAATTTATATAAAAAAGAAAAATATAAATTATTTTTAGTTAAAAAAATTATTTATTTTTTTATTACTGAAATTTTTTTAAAAATTTACTCATAGTCCCTATAATTTTTTTAGAATATAATTTATATATATATATATATATATATATATTTTATAAATTATTATTTTTAGTTTCTATAGTTGATATGGTCCATTGAGATAAATTTTTAGTATTAGCTAAATAAACTAAAAATAAAAATTATAAAAAATAAGGACTATATATTACTAATTATAGAAAATAATTTTAATTTATGCAACTTTTATAAAAATAAAACATTTAATCAAATTTTATTTAATAAATTTTCATAAAAAATATAAAACTAATTAATTAAATTGTTGAATTAAAAATTCTTATTAAGTATATTAACTTTATAATAATTTATATGATTTTATTTTAACGTATAAAATATTTTAAACTATAAATAAATATTAAATTTTATATAATACTAATAAATGTTTAAATTAAATTAATCACGGAGACAATATAAAATAATTTAAGAGGTGGATTGATTAATTTAATATTTTATATATAAAAATATTAAATGTTAATAAATTCTTTTATATATATAATAAACGTAATTTTGATGACAGTAACGGTAGAAAAGGAATGATGGTTGGCGTACCTGACGATTAATTAAGTAGCTACGTAGCTTGATTAAATAAACAAACACCAAACGGCATAATGTCTTTGCACGGATTAACTCTTTGCCTGTTATGCTAATCATATTAATTGAAATGATGAAACAGAATCAGCTAAATTAAGAAAGGGACAACGTGCTTCAACCCTTCCATATCATCTATTAATTGCTTTTTTAGTTTTTTTTCGCTTTTATTTAGATACATTATTACTTGCATGGAGCTTGTTGATGTTTAAATAATATTTTTCTTTAGATTTTGTGTTATCACATTGCTCCTTTTATTACACATTCTCTCTCTTATCTCTTTTATGATATAATGTTAGTGTTGGCATACTTGAATTCTTAAAATAATTTTCTATTGATTTTATGCTTATTAAATTTTGGATGAGTATATAAAGAATGTAAAGCATTGGAAGTTTACCTTCATGCATGCTTCTACATGTTTTGATTTTGAAACACATAAAAAATTATCATCTTCTAAACTTTTTTTTCCTTCGTTTTTCAGAATATGAGGGATGAATTCATGTTGAACTATAACACAACTTTGATTACTATTGTTGTCTTAAATTTAATAATTAATGCTATATAATAGTTTATGAAGAAAAAAAATTAATAATAATTACAATGACGTGTGAAATTTATTTACATTCATACATGTATGAAAATTGCTAGGAAACAATGTTTACATTCATGCACTCTGTTTTCTCCCTACCTATTTCATCAGTACAAAATTTATACAAATTTTTTTAAAGCATTTTAATGCTATTCTTTAAATAAAATTCAATTTAATTTATAAAATATGATCATCTAATATCATCACAGATTACTAACATAAAACTGTAATTTTATTTAAAAAATAACCAAAAATAAACTAAAAAAACTAAGCCTAATTTTCGTAGATTTCATTGTCGCCCCCCAAAATAAAGCACCCAGTTGGCTGTTGCCACATTAATAGTGATCTTGACGAACATTAATGTAATGTGGGCTAAGAGAGGTGTTCAGATGTCCACGTACTGCATATAGCAACCGTAGTTCCATACAGTAATGTAAAAGTTAATAATAATTTTTCAAGTGTTTTTTCTGCACTAACACTCAAATAATTTCTGTAATATGCAGAATCAGATTATATCCAATTCCATATTACGTAAAACTTATTTTGAAATACATATCTATCAATTTATAATGATTGTAAAATTAAAATGAAAATATGATGCACGAAATTATCTTAAGAGTTTGCATTATTCATCTCAATTTTCATTTGTTTTGGTTCAAAGTGAAACCCTGAACTATATTTTCCCTGTAATAAAGCAGGTGACGTTGGCCTTGACTTTTGTGGAGAGAAGGTTGTTGATTACCATTGTGGATCCTTTTTAAGAGGAAAACCCCTATCCCTTCAAACCATACCCCATTTTCGTTGGTGCAATTTGTGGCCATAATGGCATCTAAAGTCTACCATACCAGATTTTTCAATCATTTTGATAGCTCACTTTACATTACAATATATTATGTACCTGGAAATGCCCACGGTTTGGAGATCACTACCTTAAGAAAACTATCTTACTTATTTTGATAATGCTATAACAATTCGTATTTTCGTTACGCAATTCGCTGGGAATCTTCTATCATATTCATTTTACTTGCATGTGGTGGTATCATCTTTCAGGCAACTTAATGACACTTGGAAGGATAATTATCTACCCAACAATTATCCACATCCCTTTTTTTCACATATCATTTGGATTTTAAATTTATATTAATTAAAAAAAGTTCACACATGCAAGTTACATCCAAATGAGATACCAACAAAATTTAACATGGTTATATTAACAAAAGTTTAATTTTTGGCCTTATGCATAAACAAGACTTTGTTGATTCTCAGAAATTTAATTACATTCCTTCAAACCAGACCCCTTTGCATCTGAGGAAATTGGGATGGAATGATGTGGCTAGGGTACGTTACCCGTTTGGATATGTACATGACGTCGATTGTGTCTTTTTTTTTTTTTTATGAAAATGAATTGACTAATGTTACGTCATTTTATTCAATCTTTTTTATTATTATTTTTAAAAATATTTTATAAAGTAAGTATTAAATAATAATTAATAAAAAAATTGTAAGAGAATTTAAAATTATTGCTATGAATTAGTCACTGTCACATGCACACATCTCACCGGGTGGCACCAATGACAGTCTTCCATTTGCAAAAAGAAAAGCAGAAACTTTAATGGGTGATCATCCCTCAGAATTGAGAGAGCGTTGCACAGATCCTTCAATATCCGTTCTTTTAAAGGCAAAAATCTCCCTGCCAACGATAAACCACGATTGGAACTCCGAAGATAGCGTGTGGTCAATAACATCGTCATCAATATCCCCCTTTGGCCCTTTCTATCTTCTTCTTTCACCCTTTGTACGGTTCTTTCAGGCCAACAATAAAAAATCTTTTACTTTATAAAAATAATTTATCACTATTCTTTTAACCTTATTCTAATAACACTTATGATCAAAATTATCTAATAAACATTCATATTAATAAAACCCACCCATCTCATCAAGCATGCATGAAGCAGGTTGTCGAATAAAGCTAAAAAAGAAAATATTTTGTACCAAAACAGGGTGCTTTCAATTTATTTCTAGCAATTTACAACTAAAATGAGAGGGAAGGGAAACAAAAACACCAGAAAAATGAAGAAGTTATTACAAGATGAGGAAGTGGCAGCCACTGAAAGAAGAACCACAAGTGGCTGCATAGCACAGCTTAGCTTAGACACACCAAAACGAAGAGTAAGAAAAATGAAATGAGAAAAAGAAATATGCTAATATTTTTATACAACACAAGACACAGAGATTCAATAATTATTCCAAATCAAACTCTGAAAACCAAACTCTTCTTCTTCTTGAGGGGTGTTTAGCCACGGTGGCTGATACATCCACGCATCAACAGAGTCCATCAAGACAACCTCCTTTTCAGACCCATCACTTTCCAACGAGGGAAGCTCTATTATCTGGCTCAACTCATCAGAAGAAGAGAATGTTGAAGAGAGCGAGTCGAAACTGTCCATGTGCGCGGCTTTTGTTGCGGCGGCTTGGACATCGCGTGGCGCGAGCGAAGCCGGTCGAGGGAGGGAGTTAGCCAGCTCGGGGAAGTTGAGGATTGCGTTGGCACCTTTGATGCTGAGTGCTGCCACGTCATGAGCTCTTGCAGCCATTTCAGGCGTCGGAAATGTGCCTAACCATATGCGCGATTTCTTCCTGGGTTCACGAATTTCAGAGACCCATTTACCCCAGTTTCGCATGCGCACTCCACGGTACACTGGGTGTTTGTTAGTGTCTCGAATGCGTTTTATTTTCTTTGATTGTGGAGATGAGTTTGAGGTACACTCTGTCTCTGAGTTTTGCGGGGAAGAAATGCCCATTGTTAATGGGAGTTGGAGGAAGTTTAATTAAAGCGCCACGGCATGGAAAGTGAAGTTGGAGGGAGTTTAATTAAAGCGCCACGGCATGGAAAGTGAAGTGAAATTTGATAATGTGAGTTGTGTTTGTTTTGCATTGTAACTTCTCAGTGGCTCGTATATATAACACTTATAAAGGTTAACTGAGGAGTAAAGGACCCACAAGAGAAAAATGAGCCAGCCGGCATAGGTTCAGTGACTAGTTGTGTACATTGGGTCACCCTTTTTATGCCACGCAACCTTCTTTGTACTTCTTTTTTATTTTAAAAGATGTTTTGTAGACACTAGTCAAAGTGTTAATATCTATGAATAGGAAGAGAGAAATATAAAGAGATAAAATGTGTTAAATAAGTGTTGATATTGTTTGGGTGTTTATAAATTATAACTTTTTTTTTATCAGCCTCCTCTTTTACCCATGTTACACTGTTCGTCTACCCCTTATCCTTTTGTATTGGTTCAACATGTATCACAGCTCTTCTGTTTTGCTTCATTGTCACTTCTCTTAATTCGCTATCACCAATTTGGCCTTTTGTTTTCGTACAACTTAGTATTTTACACTGTCAAAGTACATAAGTGGCAGCGGCAGGTTTGGCTAGTGGAGACTCTCAAGGTTCATGACTTGACGCGCTATTAATTAGAATAGAAAATCACTTCCAATAAAAATAATAAGGATGCATTAAAAATTTAACAAAAACTTATAAAGAATAATCTGATGATATTCTAAACTAAATACTGTAAAACAATTTAGCGGGATGAGTAAAATTGTGCGACTTGGAAGATTTTGATTTGAGGGTCTCAATTCTTTGGTCGGAGTTTCAAGTAGAAGGCAATCGTTGCATTCAATTCTCTGTGTTCTAACTCATTTACGCTGGGTTGTTATGCAGTTCATTGATTACTTGATTAGAAATAGTTAATTTGTTAAGTATAAGTTGGATCATGGATGGGGTTTGATAAGTTGATTTTCTTCTCCATGCTAGCTATTCTAGTGATTTTGTAGCCAACCGATGCATGTGAGAGCTTTTAAAACTATATAGTCAGGGCCAGCAATGATTTAGGTTTTTGGACCCTTCTTTGATTTCTTCCCTTTTATTTACCAAGTATTATTTGCCACTCCTAGAAGATGCAATAATTTCTCTACTTCTTTTCGGTTTACTACTATGCGATTAGATCCTTCTTAAATCGATGGGGTCTGCTAGTGTTCCACGGCCACATTGTCTACAATCTCGTCATCACTCGTCACTCACATTTTCAGAGACCAAACGGTATATATAATCTTATCGTACCCTTTTTCTTTTATTCATTGTTGTAAAGTTGTTTTCAAAAATAGTGAAAATACCATCATCGATTGCTTTGTTTAAAAAGATAAAATTTATATTAAAAAAAGAAAGACACTAAAATTTATAGTACTCCTATTGTCCTATGCGTCCCAACCGCGTTACGCCTGTGTTCCAAATGGTGCTCCTGGTTATGGTGCGTTATAGGTGTTTCCAATCTTGCCACGTGCGGTTTGTCAACAGCGATTTAACTATAATAAATGGACTAACCCCACACTTCAAAGTGACATTGCTGTGTCAAACTTATTAAAGGGCCCCTTTTTCCTATTATTAAGATTTGACACGTTACAAATCCTTATAATTTACAGCGCCATTATTGCATTATCGTGCAAGTGAAAAAGCCCACCAAGTCTATGGCAATGCAAAGATGGTTCATAACTTAACTTTATAGCTTTGGGCACCCCTAGGGGCTCTCCATTTTTTGCTTTGCCTCAATAACGACGAAAACAATTGTTTTATAGGCGCGTTTCCATATTTTCCTTAGTATGAGTACCATAGACGATGGTATATTGTACCTCCAAAATGAGCTGTTACCTTTTTATGAATACCTGTTTTGGACCCATAAAATGAATCTTTTTTCTGCAATCTAAAGTGGCATGGTAACACATAAAGATCCATGTAAACAGTAACAAGTACGAATGAAAACTCTTGGAACGAAATCGCTGCCACACATTTCTATTTTTCTCCCTTTGATTGATAAAAAACGATTAAAACCATAGCAATGAGACATATGGGCCACATTAAGGCATGGATCAGCCTAAGGCCCGACAAGGCCACTCCAGATAAGATCTTTGAGTTGATGAATGATTTTGAATTCTGTTCAAGGATTCCTGTGGTTGTATTGGAAGGTGAACAAGAATAGAGGGCACATTATTGTTTTGACTTTTGAGTTTACTATACTATTTTGGGTGATTCACAATGGACACATTCTATTCTCAACCTCTGTGGAGTATGCATTCTAGCGTAAGGGAGGTAATTAGCAAAGTCTTTTTCAGATTGAGGATTTATTGATGGTAATAAAAGACATAAAAGTTAGAGAATACGCAGAGAAATATGTAAAGAATAAAGGAAAAAAATGTAGAAAAACAATGCACAATATGAAGCAAGAAAAAGGGATACAAAATTAAGACACCAACGTTTACATGGTTCATTTAACGTAGATTACATTCATGAGCAGTGATAATCTACAGTCACTATGATTTATTAAGAATATATAAAGCTAGATTGAGACCCAACAAAGCCCCCTTAGAGCTCTTTTCATAGAAGACGAAGAATAATTCTTGAAAAAACAAAAAACTTACAATTTAATTTTTTCTCACAAGAAAGCAATTAACGGATTGCTCATCTATTCTGATAAGAATGGGTCACTTTTGATACGGCATGTCAATGCTTAATAACAAGCTTTCCATCCTAATACACGAAAAGATTTCAATCAGCAAGGTATGACCATATTTAACACCGAGTTTTTTTTTTTTATCTTAACACGACACCCAACGTCGAGTTTATAATCTTAATACGACATAAGATCTCTATCAATTAATAGGTTATGCCCATACCTAATTGCACAATGTCTAAACTAATGCAACATATGTTCTCAAAAGATTAGGCATGCCTACTTCAACAGAGTGCTCCATTCTCACTTTTATATAGTTTTCATAAAAGTGACTACAACTTTACTCAATGTGTTTGATACCGCGTTCACTGAAGCGTAGGCATGAATGTTGGGGCTTGTAGCTTGTTGACGGACTCGTGTATTTTGCTTTTTAGACGTGGTTCCAAACTCACTCTTCAAAAACATTTGTCATGTATGCATAAGAGATTCTTTTAGAACTTGAGCTTATAACTTTATACTCAGTCCCTACCCCATCTCAATCATTTCAACTACCCCAAGTGGCCAAGGCTGAGGATTTTTAGATCGAGTCTTCAAAACATATAATTTCTCTTTATTTTCAAGGACTTGATTATGATGTGCATTTATTGAGAGCATGATCGAACCAAGATTAGCGTGTTAAAATAAGTATAATACACGAATAAGTATATCATAGTTAGAAAAATGTTGAAAGAATAAAAAGCACTAGTTAAAGAATCAAAAGTAATTTTTTTATATTAAAATATACACCCATTCTTATAATTTTTAATAAAAATTTATTATTTATTTAGAGTGGAGACAGTCAATCCTAATTGGGAATCCTATATAAACAGAAAAGAGAAAAAATATTGAAATGACATAAAAAAAAGCTAAAAGGGGAAAACAAGTGTAACCAAAGAATTCTGGGCTAGGAAATTAAGGACCCCTAAACTTGGATTCCACCCCGGATCAAGGCTTTGGAAAGAGTAGCTTTTAAATTATTCGGGTTCAAAAACTGTGTACTTAATAATGGGTTGCCTGTTTGGACTTCTAAATCTAAAAATCAGCTTACTTTTCATACAAATGCTTCCTAATTTCCTATCACTATATATGTAACTTAATTGTACCTTGTGGCGTCTGAATTTGTATTGTAATTAACGAGCTTCTACCCTGTAGTCAAAGATATTGACAATTATCTACAAGTCATAAAAGAGAAGGCATCAATGGTGCATCCAATGTGGGTAGGTCTTCTAATGCATTTATCTGTTGCAAAAATGCAGTTCAATCTTGGGGACTGCATCATGTGTATTAAATCACAAATATAAAAGAAATGATTGCAATGGTGTAATCCTATCTCCATTTCTATTTATTTGCTTGCAGAGAGAAAAATTATACAAACAAAAAATTTAATTATTTTACTGAAATTAATTGCTAAATTTACTAATTTATCCTTTACTCATTAGTTAATTTTTTACTCTTAAACTACTCAATATTATATAAACAAAAGAACACTAAAGAAAGAATAACAATTAATATTGTTTAAATTCTCTATGGATAGATAAATAGAAACAATTTTTTCTTTTATCTAAACAAAAAAAATAGGAACATATGTAATATTTCATTTCTGGTGGTAGTATGTTTTTGAAAATATTTTTTTAAATTTCTTTTCACATATCTTAATTTTTTTTTATTTCCTATCACATCAGTTATTACATTACGACGATGATTAAATCAATAAAAGAACATAAAATTGAGAGAAAGAAGAATAATGGAATATATGTGTGCCGCGTGGAGATGTACTTACCGAGAATGCTATTTCTATATGAAAATAAGAAAGATAAATTTAAATTATTCAATCATAAATAAATTGTCAAGATTTTAGATTAAACAAAATCATGTAATTAATTAAAAAAGTCACTTTCGTAGTAAGTTCTAATAGTTGAATTATTATCGAATTCTCATTTAAAAAGAATATTATTGCTTCGATTTATTATGCAAATTGTAAAATGGTTACACTTTATGTGGAGATTGGCCAAGATAATAGACAAATGTTAGTTCTTACCAGTGCAAAAATTTCTCCCTTTTAAGGAGAATTGCATTAAGATAAAGACATCTTCATTCTTCATTTTCACATATCCTAGCCGTTGATGCAATACAAATATTTGGTATGTGTATGGATCATATCTAATATGTTATCATTTTTCACAAATTATGCAGAGAGCCCATCAAAGCTGCTCATGCTAATCAGAAAGCTCAACCAGATTATTAGGCACTAGGGAGAAGGAACCAACCAAAGACATAAAATAAAAGGGTAATGTTATATATTTAAATGTAAGAAGAAAGAAGAGCTAGTCAAACTGTGATGTAAAATATGTTTGTCAATCTCAAGGTACTAAGGTAACAGAGGGAAGCAGTTTCCGTATCATAATGTAGATTGCCAGAGACACGTAAATTGCATGTACCTTATTGTTTCTATAAATTAAAACATGAAGAATGTTTTAATCTAACAATTGTTGTGTTGTCTTGCAACGTTTCTTCCTCTTTTATTCTTTACCCTTTTCTGTTTTTCCCCATGTTAAATTAACACCATGAGGCTTTCCTTCTTACTATTTTCTTCTTTTATGACTTAAAACAAAATCATCATCGTCGTCGTCGTCATCACTCTCATGGACAATTCTTTTCTTGGCTTTGATATCACCGTTCTTTGATGTCTGTTTCTGTGAAGTTTCAGTCTTAGTAGGTGGCTTTGATACCTTAACAGGAGTCGGAGTTCCTGTCCGAAGCTCCTTTTGCTTCCTATACTTCTTCTCAAATGCTTTCTTAGCTCTTTCAGGAGACAGCAAACCATGGTCCATTAACCTGCACATTTGAGGTATGTATATGCATTACTTTGCTGTTTCTGACAAAGATTTAATCCACAACAAAATTCAGAAAATGGCAGTAGAAGACTACAATTAAATACACTGATTCTAGAGTAAGTTGTATATTGAAAACGACTTGGTCAGCTCAAGACTCATACACTGATTCTATTGCTTAAATCGGTAATGCTGAAAGAATCAAACTGGCCCCTGCTACTAGTACTATAAAAAACAACTGACAAATACTATACCTGCCGAAGCATTGGAGAAGATGAGATCAATATTTCCCTGAAAATTTTGCTATGGGAGATTAAATCAAAATACTAACAAGTTATAGATGCTTTCTACAATACTCAGACTCAGTTTTTAAAAAGAATAGGTCGTCAAATTATAATTTTGGATTTGTTAAAATACTTTTAAAGTTGTTGCTTACTAAAATATCCTTAAATAAGGAGTAGGAGTATATAGGCAATAAAGGCGTCGCATGATGAAGTGAAGATTTTTCAGAATATATTGATCAATTGTACAAAGAAAGTTATTGAAATAAGTTAAAAATAACTTATGATATTTTTAAGTTATTTTCGTTAGTTCTTTTAAATACTCGCTTAATCATCCTCAAATACTGTAAAAAACTCATTTTCAGAAGAATTATCCAAACTTCAACTAATTCTGAGTATACAATAACAATTATATGTCTGTTTGTATCTCTAATGGTTGAAAGCGATTTTTTAACTTTAGGAAAACGTCATTGCAGAACTAAGAATATTGTGAAACTAAGTTTCCTGCCTCGCACACATCGGCTCAGGGCATGTTTGAATTGGCATTCACGCACCTACAATCAATTTTGGATATGATAATTAACAACTTTCATTTTATTTTTAAAATAACTTAAGTACGTTGGACGGAATCGAAAAAATTTTAGTTCTAGCATAATCGATTTCGATTGAAGTACAGACAGACAATCAATATTGGTTCCTTGGTCAAATATATAGATAACCCTCCCAGTTCTTCAAGGCATGTCAATCCCTTTTGGTTTGGAAAAATAGGAATTGTCCAACGGAGAAAACATTTTTGTAAATGTCATAAACCAACATTTTCAAAAGCAGAAAATATTAGATAAAAATAGATGAATGATTTTATAATACATCTCTGACATAGCCCTCAAGTAAGGGTCTTTTGGGCTTGAAGTGTGGAAAATGCACAAGCCCAAATTACCTTGTCTTGAAATTCAACTTTTTGTTTAAAAAATGAAGGTGGCAAAGATCAGCCTCTAGATCATTTGGTTTCCAAAAGCTTAATGTTCTGGGAGGTATTTCAAAGAAACTATTTGACCTTATGGAAGTGACCAATGACCTTTCTATAACTCTTTTTAGTTTGTTTGGATACGTTTCCAAGTTAAGCTTATGAGTAACCTTTGTACTTAGAAGAATTTATTGAATAAGTGTTTAACAAGTTATTTACATATCAAGACATGAGAATGTATTTATATTAATTACTTCTCTAATGATAATATTTTTCAATCTAAGGAAACAAATTTGTCATGTAAACAGATGCTTGTGGTTCTTCTACAACAAATGTTGATCTTTATGAAATGAAGAGGAACAAAGAAGTGGCAAATGTGCCAACTTCCAACATACTTTATTACCATGCAGCAAATATTAAACATGAATGGGGGAAGTAATGAGCTACTGATACAAATGGAGACCATAGCATTTTTTAAAACCAAAGTCACTTATCAATTTACAGTACAAGCTTATTTATAAAGCAATTAAAGCAACTTGGTGTCAATGATACAAAATATTAATTGGATTAATTAAAACAGAACATTTGTAATGAAGCCTAAATCTAAGAATTTTTTCTTGAATAAAAGTAAAACATAATATATGCATTGCAAGTTTAATGAGAAACAAGATGATAATTATGTCCTAAAAGTTAAAATTGTAGATAATGTAATACCACGTATTTCTAAGTTCAATTACTTAGAATCAATTCTAGAAAATAATGAAAAAATTATTGAAGATGTTATTCATTGAATACAAATTTTTGTATTCAATGGTTAAACTAGAGAAAACATCAAGAGTTGTTTGTGATTATAAATCAATTGTGTATGGCAATTGCTTTTACAAATATTTGGAATATTGAATCAGAACTGTCCAGAGAATGGTTCAAGCGACATGGCTCATAAAACCCCAAAATATAAGATAGCTTGAAATGGATATGACTTCAAAATAAAACCTAACCAGAATGAATGAATGAATGAATTTACAGCAAACTTTTTAGACGTTATTAAGATTTAAGACTTGTTTATAGAGCTATGTATGCTCATTTTGTAGAAGTGAAAATGGATGGTTAACAACTGCAAGGTTGAAAGAAAACTCACCAAAATTCTGCCATTTCACTTGTTGGTATCTGTTTTGACAATGACTCGTAGAAAACCCTTAGGGGTTCTTTCTGTCAACAAAACGCATTAAGGAAAAAATCACAAGCTGATTACCATATGTAGATACAGGTTAGTGAGTTCCAGGAATCAACTGAGATATATTCAGAACCTGTTCGGGAGGATCATGTTTCTGACCAGGCAGACTATAGACTTTCTTCTCTCTTATTTTGATAGTAGTTGTTGTCTTTGTTACTGCTTTGGATGACGATGTCGATGTCGGTTTTGATTTAACCTTCAAGTTTATGCAAAGTAGAATAAAATAACAAGTTACAACCCTCATAACTGAAACAAACACATTTAAATTGAGCTAAGAAATGCTTGATGACTCCATAGTTTTCTTAAGGAAAATAAAAACAATTGAATACTAATGTAAGGAAAATCAATGCAAGTTCTCCTATCAAATCAGCAAGAATTTATCCATTGGAAACTATCCGGGAAGTCTGAACCCGATTCCCTTAAGAAGCAGCAGTGTTGGTAAAAATTAAAATTAACAGTCAACGCAAATCAGCAGATGAATTAAGAACCCCAGAAGTCAAAGTTCAAACCACCCAATCAGCCAATAAGGATTCAATCCAATAATTCAGAAAGTTGGGGTTTTTATTTATGATACCTCAGATTTGGTGACAGTGGTAACGGGTTTCATCTTAGAATCAGGTGGGTGTCTGGTTGAGGTGTCCACCTTCTTCTTGAGAGCCAAAGATTCAATCTTGGGTTTGGAAGAGACATCTTGGGCACTTGGCTTGAGCCTCACCGTAGAGCTTTTGGTCTCTGTTGCCATAACAGAACTGAACAATCCTTAACCAGTTATCTTCTAAAGCCTATAAATTAGATCCGAATCCGATTGACCCAATTCATTTGATACTCAATTACATGTTCATTTCATCAACTTTGCCTTTGTGAAGATTACCCAAAGAGAAAAAGATGGTAAATTCGAAAGTAAAAGCAAAAGGGGGCGCGATGTGAGAAATCAGATGAACACAAGGTCCTGCTGGGTTTGGATCTTGGAAAGAAGGTGAAGTTTTTTTAGGGAACAGAGAGTGATGCTTGGGTGGGGACCACATCTTGTTAGGATGTTCTTTACTTCCTCAAACATTGTTTGTTTTCACTGATTTTCACGTACGGTGGTCCGAACACGTGTGGCGTGTGACCCAAAACCTGTATAGTAAGAAAATGATCCAATTCGCGTGTGTAAATTTTAAGTATGTGATTAAGTGGGTTAAAGTAACATGTATATAATTAATTGAGATAATTCTTAACTAGTTAAAGAAAAATATTAATAAATTCTCTTCGGATACTCATTAAAAAAATTTAAAGCCACTTTTTTTTTATTAAAACTGTAATAATATTTTTAACTTTGTAATTTGATATACATTTCAATGCGATTTTTAATTAAAAGGTTATTTTTTATGTTTAATCCTTTTTCTTAAAATGTTAGTTAACAAAATTCTCATTTAAAACAGTTAATCGTAAATAGTAGTAATATATTTATAATTTATTACTCTAATGATTCTATCATGCACAAAAACTTTAAAAATTAATGGCTGAAAAAGTTGAGTCTCGGATAAAATTTATCAGCATATAACAAATTTAGTTTTTATTCTTGAAGGTAGAATAAATTTTATATACATTCTCCTTCAGCTGTAATTATGTGCCTTTTTCTTTGGTGAACATGTATTCTTAGTTTTTATATCAAATTACACAATTTTTTAAATACTTTTTTACTTGAAAGATATCTCTATTTTCTTTAATATTTGTAATAAATGATTAAAATTCTTCAATTAATATTAAACATAGCAGTATGTTTATAAAACAATATTTTATTAAGTAACTTTTGAGATTGAAAGATTCAGATATATGTATTTTTATACTTTAATTTCATTTTTATTTTTGAATAAGTCCTAAATATTTTTAGTTCATATTTTTATATTTTAGCTATATTTGAATGTTTTTTTTTTATAGAATGCGCATAGTACTTACAGATAAATGAAAATTTCATTCATTAATTTAAAACTCATAAAACTTCTGCATCTGACAGTTAAATGCATCGCATTAAATTGGAAAAAAAAAAAAGAAAAGAAACTAACGAGTTTCATGTGCATTACACATATTTTTAAATCTTTGAATGGAGAAAGTTTTCAAAACATCAAAGCCATTATTTAAGCAGTAAAAGTGCTTATAAAAGGAGCATTTTGTCACCTTTTGTAAATCAGCGAGAACAGGGGGAATATCAGCTTCATTTATTATACAACAATTTTGCCAAACGCTCTTGCTCTTGCTCTTGCTTCTGCTTCCCATAAGGAGGGCCAATTTCTTGCCTTTTTTTAAATAAGTGATTTTCTCTTCTGAATTCTGATGTCACATGATAAGCACTTCTACACTTTGGTCAATTTCCTCAACAAGTTTTGAAGACAAAGATCATCACGATTTCACAACACAACCAAACAATTATATGCTTATGCTTTCTTTTTTCAAGGGATAGATATGACCCTCTAGAATCAATAAACTTTTTCTTTAATCATATTGTTAACTCATGCAATCTAACTAACATCATCAAGTTATCAATTCTACAAAATAAGTTTTCTACAAAATTGATACATGATCATGTCTGGCTTATTTGGAAAAGTCTATTGTACCAAATTGAATGAAGAAGCATATGAAACAAGTCATACTTTACAGGCTCAGCATGCCACAGAAAATGCTCCTGTACCTTTTTCACCCTCTTATGCATCTCTAAGTACCTTTCTTCAGAGATTGAAAGCAGTATGTTCCTCAAATTAGGGATGTCTCTTTCCATCAGAAACACAGCAAAAGATTCCCAGTTCAAAACTTCAAAGAGAGGAGGAATAAAATTGTCAGATATGATAACAGGAATGCACTGATAGAATATAGCCTCTACCACACGCGGACTATTAACTTCATGACCTCTTGCACAGATACAGTATCTGCTGCTCTTCATGAGCTCAAGATAGTTTGCATTACCCCTGACATGTGGCAAAGGACCAGATATTTTCATGTCAGGTTCTTTGTTCTCCCAATGTTTCAACAGAATAGGCCGAACATAACCGTGCAATCCGCCTGCAAAAAAGGCCAGGATAGGCCTCTGAGAAGGAGGGTTGCCCCCTATATTTTTGACAGGATTCTCAATTGACCTTATATATGTTTCTGGAAGAGAAACATCCTTGCCTATCTTGAATCCTACTTCAATGTCAGCATTGCAGAGGGCTCTGATGCAGTTAAGCATGCGCCCTCTTGTTTCTGCAGGAGCCTGAGAAAGTGTGCTTGTTAAATACTCTTCCACTCAATTACTGGTGAGACTGCTTCCACAGAAATTAATGATTCAATCATAATGGTATACTATAGTCCATGATTAACAATTTATGAACAGCAGGAATTTCTATTTGCCACAACTCAATAATGCAAATAGTTATATTTTACAGTTTACATCAAGGGAGGTTTCCCATTATAAGAGTGAAACAACGTTACAGATTGCAATCTCATAGCATATTTCAATTCACGTTTAGTTCCTCACGGATTACCAAATTTTTAACATGAATCCAAATACATACTAAGAAAATAAGGACAAGGAACACAAACACATACCATATTCTTCATCATAAATTGCTCCAAGACAATTGGGGGAAGTTTGTTATAAGGACAGGAGAAGAGGCAGAAAATGCATTGATGATAATTTGCATGAACATAAAGAATCATACCCAATCATGGCAAGCAACAACAAAGTGATCTGCTCCAGAAGTTCTGTTCCAGAAAGGATACTTTCCAGCAATCATGTCCACATAATTTTTCATGTACTCAATTAAGTTTGAACGTTTGTGTGAATTACGTACATAGAGAGTTTGCTGCAACAATCTTGAACTGAAAGGTATGTAAAACAAGTGAGCCTTCGCAGGGTCTTCAGTGACAAACTGTTTGTTTGCTTCCATTGATTTCATAAACCATCCTTCAGATGCATATATTCCATCCAGTAAGGGCTCATGGAAGATTGGTCTGTCTCCATCCTGGTAGATGTAGACTTTGAGCATCTTCTCCATTAGTTCATAACTCCTGTAGACATGATTAGTTGGATATCTTTTAGGAAGGATATGCACACAAGATTTAAGATACTCAAACTTACAGGGGGCAGAGAAATACATACATAATAATTAAAGAATATGTAAACAGAATCTTCGTATCTAAGTTTGGTTTTATATGCTCTTTCCAAAGAATAGCATGATAGACCCACGGAAGGCCATAATATTTTGAAAATATGCCAGTAGTTAATTTTATTAGACTAAATTATGTTTTTGATCCCTGAAAATATCATGATTTTTTCATTTGGTCTCTCATTTTTAAAAATTTGTTAAATTGTTCTAAAAAATTTTTGTTGCCATGTATCCCCCTGTTAAGCTTCATTTATTTTGCCCATTTAGTGCTTATGTAGCTCTAAAAAATGAGGGATCAAATGGAAGACTGGTGATATTTAGAGGCACTACAATGTAAAAAAAAATTATAAGGATTCAATTATAAATGTCTAGAAAATGAGGGATTAAAGAAAAAATTATGATATTTATAAGGGAACAAAAACATAATTTAACCTTTTATTATTTTTGTGCTGAACACTTATGTGTGGTTTATTTGGAAGTTATTTCTATCACTTGTGGGTTGGACGGTAATTGCGTTATGGTTATGTGTATACTAAGCATGGGGGTGGATTATTCAGAATGTGGTTTGTTATTTGCTGTTTATTGAAGAGAATACTTCTTGTATGGGGAAACTCTTGTACTGAGTGCTTGTACTGCAAATCTAGTAATTAAACCAAATTGTTTCTGTAATACAGTCATTGTTTTGTGTTTCTAATTCCTGAGTCCAACAAAACACGATGTTTACATATCTTTGTATATGCCATATATTCTGTTATTTAATTTAATTTGTTGAATATGACATGGAAAAACACCTAGCTCAGTAATGACACGGTTTTTTTTTTTTTAATAACTATTATTTCACAGAAACCAAATACGACCAAGTGAAAACTCCAAATGCTTAATTATCTAACTCAGCTCTATACAGGTGAAGAACCCATTGGAAATGGTGCACGTAAATCAGAATCATCATTTATAAAACTTTGTGTCTATACAGTTGTATTTGAACTTTAATCATACTATTAGATTCAGTTCCCTCCTTAGAAATAAGCAGTTGATAAGTCAGAATAATAAAATAATTCAATCAGAATCTTGGCAATTCAACCATACTGCAGTGGTTTGGATCAAGAGTAGAATCCATGCATTGAAAAATAATTATTATTATCATACCTTCTGAACATGGAGACATTCCTGTATAAAGCTGAGTAAAGTCTAGAATCATTCATAATTATAGGTGCATTTAAAATCTCTGATTTTACATGCAATACTTCCAGATCAACAGCTGAAGACCTAGTTGGCTTCTACAAAATTATCAACATAATGAGTTAGAAATCTAATCATGTAATTCAATCTGTACTTGCACATATGATCCATCATCTAAAACATACCACTTGCTGGGAAGAAGCATGATTATGCTGCAAAAGTAAGTTCATCTCGGATATTGAAACTACTTTAGAAGGCTTCTTTTTGGGATTCTTTGTAGTCACTGGCTTATCATTATGGAATGTCAAGTTACTTCCTTGCAAAGGACCAAAGTTTCCATCCTTGTAAACTGGATCAGTTGTATCTGATTTCAATGAAGTTGCATTGGGAGTGACAGATATCATGGGACTTCTCGAATCCGTTTCTGAATCTAAGGATGTTCTGTACGGCAATGGCGCCATAGGCTGAGGTGAAAGCACGGAAGAAGCAGATTCTTGTGATGCCAAATTAACCACAACACTGTCAAGTCCTTTAGCTTTCTTTGGTGCAGAGGCAGTGATTGAATCTCTTCCATTGTGAACTACTACACCATGTTCTAAGAGGGAAGCCTGAGGACTAATAGCTATCTCTTCATGTGCACGAGTAGAACTTGAATTTGAACCATTTAGGTGCATATTATTATTATTATTATTTCTTTCCACTTTAGAATTAGCCAAAGATGTATCCATTGTGAAACTAGTAATTGTAGCAGTAAGAGAAGATAGGAATTTACTATTTGGAAGTTCCGAATACTGAACCACTAAAACTATAGCCACTGTTATCCCCAAGATTGAAATTAACCTCCTTGTTTCTGCTTGACACAGAAATCTAAATCCTGGATCCATGTCACAACCTCAGAAACGTGACCAACACTTAACTGGGGGAACCAGAGACATAAACTTCATTGAACACCCATCATCAAACGCTTCAAAACAACAATTTCCCAAGTATAACCGACACCTTTGTGAAGCAAATTCATGATCAAGATTCAATCTTTATTATAGGGAGTGACCATCGTTACAAAAGATCGCCGAATGCAGCAGCTAACACGCTAAATTCTCACCTCTAGAGAGATCAGGAGAAGTAATTGAAGCAAACCCATTGAGATGAACCAAGAAAAGTCAATAAATTTTGTGTGGGTTTTCAATGGGAAGATAAAAGAGACAATTTTACGATAAGGAGAGGCATTGGGTGGTTCATTTGGTTAGGAAAACAGAGAAGTAAGGTGTAACGGAATCATAGGACAAACTAATGTACCGACAAAGGACATACGTAGGTATTGAGATTTGCGTCTGTGACGGTCTCTTTCTTAACTTATCGAACAGGGAAAGGATCTAACATGTCAGTGAAATGGAAGGAAGGAACAGAGTAATCGAAGATTGGAGTAAATTTAGGAACCGGCCAACGAATAAGTCCAAGACTATCCGAACTTTATAACGTGAAATTGCACACTTTTTAAATCTCTAATGGACCGCTGTGTTTTTTACATTATGGTTTTATTAACAAATAATTGAGTAAATATTGAAATTAGTTTTTAAAATATTTAACAAGAGTTAATTTGGTCACTAAATAGTTTTTTTTTTTTCATGAGAAAGATTAATTTCTCGATTGAAAATTGCATATCTTTTATAAGGTATTACTTAGTTAAGATGACATATGCAATTTTCATTTTATGAAATATTTTTAAAAAACTAAATTAGTTCTTTAAACAAAAATTATTGAAGTCAGCTTACATATTTCTAAATATTAAAGTTAACTTTTAGAGATAATCTGACTAAAACAAAATAAGTTTCTAAAAATTATTTTATTGAATAAAAATTAATAATGTCATCTCAACTGTTTAGTAACTCAAATAAAGAGTTTTATTAAGTTAAACATGAGTATTTTAATAGAAGAATTAACATGTTCTGAAGATTAAATTTTTAAGAACTATTTGATGATTTTTATTTTTTCGAAGACAAAATTAGGTCTGTAAAAATTTTTCAGGGGCCATTTAGGCCATTTACGATATTCACTGTAAATAATTTAAGCAGCGTTTTTCCGTAATTTGTGCGTTTTGAAAATGCCTTTGCCGAAGTCCAAACTCTAAAGAGCACAAGGTAGGGTTCGATACATGGACTAAAAAAATGTACACTACTTAAAATTACACAAATTTATTCAAGACAAAGTGAGAATAAATATACATACAGATTAAATTTACACCAAAAGCTCAAAAAATGTACACATAAAATAATCTAATAAACTTCATTCTTATTTATTCTCTCTGTCTATCCCCAAAAAAATGTGTTTTTTTTTCTTTAACAAAAATAAAAGGCTCTTTCAATCAATTCTGGCCATCCGTGTCTCCAAAGTTTTCTATCTAGTTCTTGCGGTGAACACTCTGTTGTACCAAATAGAATGAAGTATCATGTGAAATATATCATACTTGACAGGGCTCCTATGCCAAAGGAAATGCTGCTGCACTTTTTTCACCATCATCTGCATTTGAAGATACCTTTTTTGAGGGATGGAAAGGAGTATACTCTTTAGATTTGGAATATCCTTCTCCAAAACAAAAACAGCAAAGGACTCCCAATTCAAAACGTCAAAAAATGGAGGCACAAAATTGTCTGATATAATAACTGGAACACATTCATAGAATATGGCCTCCACAACTCTTGGACTGTTCACTTCATAGCCCTTTGCACAAATGCAGTACTTGCTGCTCTTCATGTACTGGATGTAGTTTCTATTGCCCTTAGACTTTGGCAGTATCCCAAAGATTTTCATGTCAGGATCTTTATTTTCCCAGTGCTGTAACAGGATTGGCCTAACATAACCATGCATGCCCCCTGCAAAAAAGGCTAGGGTGTTCCTCTGCGAAGCTGGTTTTCCACCAAGGTTTCTAGTGGGATTCTGAGAACTGCGGACATAAGTTTCGGGAAGAGACGTGTCTTTTCCCAAGACAAAACCAACTTTGACATCAGAATTGCATAGGGATCTTATGCACTTAGCCATGTGTTGCTTTGTTTCTGTAGGGGCCTGCATAGTGTAGTTTAGAGGCATATTTTATGAGAAGATACAATGAAGGAGACTAATGTGATAAAAGAATATTTACCAATGCATGCTTTTATTTCATAACACAAAAGTGTTAGTAGCATTAAGTGTTAAGGCTTGTCTGAAAGAACTAATGAATATTTTATGAAAAACAGTTTATGACTCTGGTAAGTTGTTTTCAGTTTATTTCAATAAATTTATTGGTATAATTTTATCAAAATAAGTTATTTTCACCTTAGCCAGATAAGTTTCATCATTAAATTTATAACATAAGTCCCTGTTTAAATAAAAAGAGCTTACTAAATAAGCACTTAAAAAGTTGCGTGTCCAAATGCATTCTAAATGAGAAGCAATTATGGCTTGTGCTCCTAGCAAATTGACACAGAAAAGACACATTCATAGAACTAGGAAAAGCAATACCCAGTCATGGCAAGCAACAAGAAAGTGATCGGCACCTCCTGTTCTGTTCCAGAAACGATGTTTTGTGGCAATCATGTCTACATAATTATTCAGATACTGAATCAGATTCCTGTGACTATGTGAATTTTGTACGTATAAGGTTTCCTCTAACATCCGAGAACTGAAAGGTAAGTAAAACAGATGGGCCTTCTTTGGGTCATTAGTAACAAATTCTTTATTAGCTTCCATCAGTCTCATGAACCATCCCTCGGAAGCATAAATTCCCAAAAGATATGGTGAATGCATTATGGGCTTAGCTCCTTCTTTATATACATACACTTTAAGAGTCTTTTCCATCAATTCATAGCTCCTGACAATTAGAAAGTCAGAGGATAATATTAAGGTGAAATGAAAACTCAGCAGTATTAAAAAGAACCTTTCTACATATATTGTTGTTGCATGCTCAAATCTGTCATTTTCTTAAAATTTTGTTTCAATGAATAGCGAAAAGACTCTTCAACATCAAGAAATCTGAGCATTTTTTTATAAATTATACTAAATTCTATATGAGTTGATCAACACTATGATATTTATGTAAAGGAACATTTGTTGTTACAAACCAGAAAACCAAAGAGCCTGAGCTTACATGTTATCAGTATGATAAATAGCAAATGTCTCTCACTGTCCATAAAAAATTGAGTTCATATTGTCATTACAAAGATATCCATACATTTGTAAATTTCAAGTAAGAATTTTCTTCTAGGCGGTACTTCTGGAACATTTATCAAAACTAAAAATAAAGCCACAATAATCAAATGATACCTCTTGAATGTGGAAATGTTTCGAAAAAGGGGAGTGTAAAGATTTTCAACATCATTTACAATTGGTGCATTTTCAATCTCTGATCTGGCGTGCAGTAGCTCTTGATCAACAGCGGAAGACCACCTTGGCCTCTAGAAACAAGTTAAAAACATAAGAACAGAACAAAAGAATATGCTAGAATCTGCAAGTAATAAAATGAAAAGAAAAAATAAATTAAATTACCATGGAACGATATGAGGCATGGTTTTGCAGCAATATCTTGGTCATTTCAGAAATTGTTATTACTTCCGAAACTGCTATTTGAGTTTCTTTAGTATCCATAGGCACGCTGTTAATAGGAAAATTCTTGCCTTGTATATTGACATTTTCATGTGATGGCCTGAAACTCTCATCCTTCTCAGAATCATTTTCCTTAGAATCATTTGATACCGCTCGAGGTAGAATATTTGGGCTCACTTCTGTTGGATGACTTATAGGTGGAGTTAAATATGTCTGTGTTGTTGCATGAGTAGGGAAATGAGATTTAACATATGAACTTCCTGACTTATGTTCTGATGCAGATATAATATTAACATCTTTTGTCAAATTTATAGCCATAGTATTGTTATAACTGCTCAGTTCAAGATTTCCTGCCAGTCCTGTTGCAGGACCATTGTCTGATATCCAATTAGTTTCTTCCATGGAACTTTCACGACTTTCATTGAATCCTAAAGATTCATCATTTTCATCAAATCCTAAAAATTCGTCCAATACCTTTCCTGGGTCAGAGATGAAACCAGTAATTGAAATAGTGTCCTTTTCTTCAGACATCCTAGTTTTATTAACTATCTCAAGGGCATTTTCATCAGCGGAGTTTGCTTGATTCAAACTTGTCAAATTGTTAAATGTTTGAGACTCAGATATTGGATCTGCAACTTGGAATCTAACACTATCCAATGCTGGTGTAGTGTCAGCAGAGTATACAGAGGGTTGAAAGCTACCATAAGGAAGCTCAAAATAGTGGAATGAAAAAATCATTGCAAACGTAATGCCAATAAGCCAAAACAATCTCTTTTTTTCCAGCTGAAATAAGGACAACATTTCTTGATCCATTTTGCTAAATTTACTGAACAACCGTCACTGCCCAATTACCATATCAACTCTGTGAATTATACCAAAATAACCCAGAATGAGTAAGAACTAAGAAAGAGGCAACTACTTTGTAACATTAAAGAAAATGGTTAATTTTTGTTGTTTCACAACCCAAATTCACCCAATTGAAACGCATGGCCTCGGAAAAGAAATGGCAACAGCAAGAAGGTAAAGTAAACCAGACTCATTTTGCCAAGTTCAGACATACCAATGGAATAAACCATGATGGAGAGTTCCACACATGAATCAATTCTGCGAAACAAGAATACGTTACACACAAATCTAACTTGGGCATGTCTAGTACTCAAATTTCAAATACAAGTGTGATGGTTTTTGGAAAGTAATTGTAGAAATTCATAAAAGCAAAAGGGCTACCTAACAAATTCTGGGAAAAGAAAAGAAAAGAAGAAAAAAAGGAAATTAACGCAAAAAATTAAAATCCACAGAACAAAATATCTAGTTTCCTAAGTCACGGTCAAACCTCAAAACCCATGTCTTAATCCTGATGCTACCCACACAGCATAAAAAATTCAGTTCCAAATTACATCAATTCCTTCTTATTCTTTTTCAGAAGTCATGAAAACAACGAAGAAAAACAAAGAATCAAGACAGGAAAAACAATATGAGAATTGATAAAAAAGCATGTCAGGAACCGATAACTTTACCAACAAACAATCAGCATTCAACAAAGACTACACAAGATGAAGTGATTCCTGTGAGTTACTTCAAGTTCTAGTTAACTAATAAGTCTGAAACCTCAGTTGTAAAATTGAATTCCGATATTATGTTAATTGCCCTCTCTCTCTCTCATTTTTCAGCCCAACCAAACACAAAACAAGCCAGCTTCTTCTGTATTATCAAAATTTTATCTTTACATGTTGAAGCTCTATTTATAGATAGTCAAAAATATATTTTTATTTAATTTTATTAGGAACATAAAGAAAATAAAATATCTTTCACGTTGGACATAGAAAATGGAAGTAAAATAACGTCAAATACCTGGTTGGCATCGAAAGAGTTTGTTTTATGTTGATGTTTGAGGTGACGAAGCAAAAGAGAAGGTGTGTTGTTGGGACAGAAAGAACAAGTGGATGAGGAGGGATCCCTATGTTACGCTGAACGGCATCAGCAACAACATCAGCACCCAAATTTGACAGTTTTTTTTCTCTTTCTCGTAAAAATTAAGAACAGTAAAAACATTAACTCTACTTTTCAAAATCAAAGACAACTATGAGGCGCCTTTACACGCTGTCATTCAACTCTTGACGGATATCATAAATTCGAAGTTTATTACGCCCTTTTTATTTTTCCTTTAGCTAAGTACAAAATATTTATTACTATCTATTTTTATTTTACCCTGTTTTTTCTTTCCATCCAAAAACAAAACCTTCAATTCTTGTGTGGGTTGTTCCCGTGCGCAGCAGTATTAAAGTTATTGCTAAAAAAAGTATTTGTTTAGAATAATAACAAACTTATTATAATAATTAGTTGGTAATTTTTTAATAAATAAGAATTAAAAATAATGAACATTTTTTAATATTTAAAATATAAGTATTTAGACAAATAAGATTTTTTAAATAATATTTAATACAAGACAAAATTACTATTTTTTATTGGTTTTCTTATTACTTTATAACATAAATATTAAATGTAAAGCACGGGAATTAAATTTATAAAAATATTAGTTATTTTTTATTTATTTGTTTAAAAATATTAATTTTTTTAGATATAGAAGTTTAAGATTATTATTATCATTATTATTCTTTCATTAATAGCATTTTGTTCATATAAAATATTTATATTATTTAAATAGTTTAAAAGTTAAAAAAAATACTGATTAATTAAGAGTAAATTAGTAACTTAAATAATTATTTTTAAATCAATTATTAAATTCCTTGATATGTGAAATTGTTTTTCTTTAAATAAATAAATAAAAACAAAGATAGTATTTAGTTGTTTCTTCAGTTAATAATATTTATCAGCACAAAAAGTAAAAATATTTAAAATATTAAAAAATATTTATTAATGATGATTTTTGTCAACTAACTATTAAAATAATTTTAAAATTAGTTACCACGTAATTAGTGCAATAACTTCAACACTTTTAGAAGAAGCATTTTAGTGAAATCGATTTATAATTTTATCATATTTATTGATAAAGTTAATTGTGTTTTTAAAATATGTGTATATATATTAATTGACATTTAATATAAGACAAAAATATATTTATTATTAAAAAAATATATAAAATAATTTTTTATTTTAGATTTAAGAAGATTTGTAAATAGAAAAATAAGAAAATTTAGATTTATTCTTAAAATATATGTTAAATAATTAATGGCTATACAAGTGGTTATAAATATATAAAAACATTAATTATTACCGTTAAAATATTAAAAAAATTGTTACAATAATTTGTAAGAAGGTATAATAAAGTTTAATTAATTAAAAGTATTATTAATACACTTTCATCATTTTTATATATTATTAACAGACTTTTAAAAAATTTAATTTGTTAATTAGTACTTTAAAAGTACAAGTTTAACAAGACTCATAAATGCAAATATAAAAAATTTTAATTTTTTTGTTACCATATTTTATAAATAAAAAATAAGTAAAATATATGCCTTCAAAAAACTTTAAGAATATTTTAATTGATAGAATGTGGTGTTAATGATGATTCACAAATATTTTATTATATTTAGTTTTAATTAAAATTTAATAAAATTAATAATCCTTTAATTAAATAAATAATTGAAGTAAAAATTATTTTAAATTGATTAAAAAATTATATCACAAAAATGAAGAAACAAGTAATCATGTGAGAAAAATATGCATAAAAATTAATAGTTAAAAATGGAAATTGAATTTATTATGTTACAATGAATAGTTAAAGTCTCAGCTAAAGTTTTGAAAATTGGTGTTGTTATTAGTCTCAGCAAAAACTGAAATTAAAAGAAGAAGTCCTTATTAGTCATAATTGGGAGGTATTCTTAAACTTGGCTTGTGAATTGTTGCGCAAGAAATTTGAAATGCACTGAACCCTATCTTTTGTATGGTCTTTTGATTATGGTACTTGTTTAATTGTTTAGAGAGGCATATTCTAATGAGTTAAAAGCTAAAACACATTAATTTTGGTGGTACTTGCTAATTATTTTTAAGTAAAGTTTTTAATCAGCTTAAATTTTGTATTTTAAAAAAAAGTCATAAAAAATAGTTTAATTATATTATGGATATTTTTGCACAACACTAATAACTGTAATTTAAATTACTAATTAGTATAATTTTGTATTTGGTTGAAGAAGCAACCGAAAGAAAAAAGAAGAAAAAATATTTTTTGTAAATAAAAAATTAAAAGTTTTTAATTTTTTTATTCAAAGTTTTATATTAAAATACTAAGTAGTAAATATTTAATCACACCATCAATAGTGTAGATCGGTAAGTAATAGATCATTCTAACTTAACTAATAATTTTAAATTTGAGTTCTGAAAACGTAGTTGCTTTAGAATTTGATAAATAAAACTTTATTATCTTTTACAGTTTTGCCTTTGCTTGACTTTGAGCAAAATTAATAGATACTTAACCATACCAAATCTATAAATCAAATAATTAGAATGAAAATTTAAGATCTAAATAAATTAAAATAATCTTAAACATTGATAACTGTATAATCAAGATTAAATTCTTAAAATATACTAATATTTAAAACATTAAATTAGTTGAGAAGTTAAATTAATAAAGAGAAACAGAAAGTGCTTAAAGAGGCATTTTCTAATCGGTAATGGTTTTTAAACATCCAAACGCGACTTTTAGGTATCTCTCTGTAAAGAGGCGTATTTCAATCGGTTATAGATTTTAAATACCAAAAGGAAATACTTTTAGGTATTTTGTGTGTGTTTAGAGTGTAGTTTTAGAATTCAATCAGGTAAAAATGATAAATAAAAAAAAATAATTTTAGTATATTAATATTATCAATATAAAAAATTTTACACTATCAATTAGTAAGAATACATTATAAATATATTTTTAATATTTCTTATTTAAAACTTAATAATTCTTATTAATATAATAATTTATAATTGTATACTAAATTATATATAATATCACCTAAAATAATTTATTTTTTTTGTGATTTAAATAACGTAAATCTGAATTGGCCCATGCCAGATCTAAGCAGGGTTTGACCTACCAGTGGATCTATGCCTGGACAACGCTTCTAGGTATCAAACATGAAAAAAGACAAAAGATTCCTAGACACTAAATTCTAAACTAAAATGGCAATAATTGCTTTTTTAATACGAGAAATTTATTATATATACTCAACGTACATAAATTCTCTACAAAGAAAACCAAGTAGTATTAATTGATTATATAAATATTCGCAAGTTATAATTATTTTATATTTAAAAGAAATAAAAATCATTTAAACCACCATCCAAGATGGGTTTGTTTATGTATATATTTATAAACTAATAAAGATATTAGTTGTTTTGTTCTCCCACTCTTTTTAGTTCTCAAAGAACCTAACTTCTCCTATTCAACTTTGTAAGAACTAGTTTTGATACATTATATATTTGAATTTCCATGCCATTTTAGTAAAGTTCATGACCTTACTCCAAGCAATACCTATGGCCACTTCATATAATGCATTCCTAGTGAATTGCTCCATTCAGGAAAGACCCTCTCATGTTTCAGACAATTCTCGACCTAACAACCTTCCACCCTTCCATGCCTTAAAGGTAAACACACATCTATCTCAAATTTTACTTTGTTTTTGCTTTTCTTCACTTTTGCTTGCAAAGTGAAACTATTTGAACGTGTGATTCATTGGACAGCCAATCAAGAAAGTTCTGGCTATAGTCCCTTGGCAAATTGATGTTCCCAAAGCTATGACAAATACTGCAGCTAAATTACTTGACGCTTTTGTTGATTCCTTCTTTGAATTCATTGACCAACCATTGCTTCCATCTCAGGTAAGGTACCCTATATACATATAATGAGTAATTTAATTTAATGCTCATCTAGATTCTGACTTGCACAGAGCACCCAACTCATGCATACATATACACTCAAACTTACGTTCTTTCATACCTTCAACTAATTGTGTTCCATTACTTTGTGTAGAGTAACTTTGCTCCAGCGGAGGAATTGGGGGAAGCCATACTTGTGAGCAGCATTCAAGGACAAATTCCATATAATTTTCCAGAAGGTGTCTACGTTAGAAACGGTGGGGATATTCCTTTGAATATATTTTGTATTCATGCAACAATATATGATAATATAAACTAACTTCCTATGTGGCATCTTTAGCGCATAAGCATTTGTCCTTCCTTGATGATCCCATAATACAATGTTATGTATAAAACAGTGAAAACGACGCAAGCCACGCCGCAGGTTGCAAGGTACAGTAATATACTAAACAAAATTCATCAAGCCATAGATAAGTATACTGTACCCAACCCAGGCCCAAGAAAGTTTTATCCAATTCAAGCAAGACTACAAAGAATACGTGTAATTTACAATTTCACACAATTTTTTTGAAAAAATTGAGCATATTACACTGTTATATATATTGTCACTGTTTGATGCGATCAATTAATTAATCTAAGAGTATGCTAAAATCTCAATTACCGTCAGATAAGGATGGTTGCTACTTATTCAAAGATACGTATAGGTATTGTGCTAATGGGTACGTATTTTACAGGACCAAATCCACTTTTTGGAGGACTGAAATCAACAAATTCCATGTTTGGGAGGTCAAGACACATTTGGGTGGAAGGAGAGGGAATGATTCATGCATTGTATTTTGAAAAATCAAGTAATGGGAATTGGACAGTTCTCTACAACAAGAAGCACGTTGAAACCGAAACATATAAACTTGAGAAACAACGAAGCAAACCATCGTTTCTACCGGCCATAGAAGGCGATTCACTGGCCATTTTGTCTGCTTATCTGCTAAACTGGGTTAACTTACTAATCTGTTCCTATTTATTAAATTTGAGTCTTCATTTTTTAAACAAAAATATTGTTAAGAGTTATTTTAAATAAGATTGTTTTTAAGAGTTTTTTTTTTCTGCTTATGTAATTCAATTTTAATTTTTCATAATTTTTTTATTTTAATCATATTTAATGTAAGAAAATATTTATTTTTTAATTTATAAAATTGGTTAAATTTAACAATAATCATGTAATTTATTTTTAATTTTATTAATTTATTATAATAATATTTTCCCTGTGTACAATATGATTCATACAACATTTAAAATAAGTAGCGATCAAATGATTAAATTTAATGGACAGTAACGCACATTTTAACAGGGCTTAAGTCTCCAAATCAAGAAAAGATAGTACGATCTAGCTTGTTAGAATTAGCAAGTAAACATACAAAATTAAATAGAATGATGCTTCTTCTCACGATTCCCGCATTTATATGGCTAACAATCAAACTCACATGTGAAATATGAATCAACTATTAGACGATATTTTGGACTCATTCCTAGCTAGCTAAAGGAGTTAATATGACTTGGCATGCCTCATTTAGTTACATCTTGTGGAATTAATAGTTGAGATTTGGCAAAGTAAACAAGTACATCAGCAACACAAATGTCTTTGAGCATTCAGGGAAGTTTTATTCGGTTGCTGAAAATCACATCCCTCAAGAGATTGATATCTTTACCCTGAAAACTTCAAAAAATTGGGATGTCAACGGAGCCTGGAATCGACCATTTACCAGCCATCCAAAGGTTTTTCTTTATATGTATATTTGCAAATCAATGCTTATTCTCTTTTAGCACTCTATTGTTCTCACTCACTTTTTCAAAGTACTATCACAGAAAGCTCCAGGTACAGAAGAGCTAGTTACATTGGGGGTTGCAGCAACAAAACCTTTTGCCGTTGTTGGAATTATTTCTGGTATGCTCTATATTGTAAAAGTAAAAAAAAAAAATATTAAAAAAATAAATGTACTAATTATTTGCTTCCAGTAGTGCATGATAAATATGCTTCTTTTCCTATCCTTTTTCAGCTGATGGAAAGAAATTGGTTCATAAAGTTGATCTCAAATTAAACAGGTGCAGTCTATGCCATGAAATAGGTGTTACAAAGAGGTAACAATGTTAATAATTTTGCTGCTTTGGAGTTATTATTTGAACCCTGCATCATTGTAAAATATGTATTTTGTGGGATATTGTTTTGCAGGTACAATGTGATATTGGATTTTCCACTAACCATTGATCTAAACAGACTTCTTAAAGGAGGCTCGTGAGTGCATATCCTTTGTATGAGAGAGCACGCATTCAATTTAATCTATGATACGGTTAAGGAAAAATTCTGTTAATTAGTTAGCATCTCTTGTCTACATGTAGCTTAATAAAGTTTAGTAAGGAGGAATACGCGAGGATTGGAGTAATGCCACGCTATGGTGATGCCAACTCAATCAAATGGTTTGAGGTGGAACCTAATTGCACTTTTCACATCATCAATTCTTTTGAGGATGGTCACGAGGTAAGCTAAATAGAAGTAATATATAAGATTCTATACAAATTTGTCAGATATATGAACATAAGGGCTGCACTTAAATTTTGAAAATGTATTTGACGTGTATCAACAGGTTGTAGTAAGGGGCTGCAGATCTCTTGATTCACTAATTCCTAGACCTGACCCGAGCTTGGAGGAATTTGAGTGGTTATCTCGTTGTTATGAATGGAGATTAAATATGCATACAGGAGAAGTTAAGGAGAGAGATCTATGTGGAACGAACGTTGTTTATATGGATTTTCCCATGATCAATGGAAACTTGATAGGTATTAAAAATAAATATGCATACACACAAGTAGTTGATCCCATTGCAAGCTCTACTCAAGGTAACAATAGAGAATAATTTTTTAATTTTTTCTTCTCAAGAATAATAAGTAGCGTTTCATATTTCATAATCATATATAAAAATTACATAACATAGCCTTGTCATTGGGTTATTTAGGTGTGCCAAAATATGGAGGTTTAGCGAAGCTCTATTTTGAGGAATCATGTGCAGAGTTCTCAATGGTAAAAAATGCTTTGACTATATGTTTTACTAAAAAAAATTTCCAATTCCATGGTTGCAACTATCATCATAACTTGGATTTTGTGAAGCAGAAAGACAAAGAGCAACCTGTAAGGGTGAAATGTCATACATTTGAGAAGAATACATTTTGCAGTGGAGCTGCCTTTGTCCCTAAAGATGGGGGTGTTGAAGAAGATGATGGTTGGATCATAACTTTTGTTCACAATGAAGATACTAGCACATCTGAAGTGGGTTGAATTTGACATTAATTACTGTGTGGTCTTGCTAAATTATAACAGTATTATACATACACAAATTACTAATTAGCTCCTATTTATTTTTGTTTAAGGTTCATATAATCGACACAAAGAAGTTTTCTGATGAGACGGTTGCCAAAATTACAATGCCTCGCAGAGTGCCATATGGGTTTCATGGAGCTTTCATGCCAATCTCATTTCAGTCACAGTAGCACTGTTATTTGTATCACCATATATGCCTTACGTGAAAGCATAGGTTATAATAATATTACTCCCCCTTATCATTCATTAATATTTCGTGTATATTAATCTTACATCCCGTTAATATTTATTCTATTTTTTATTCTCTCATTATATCACCTCTCAGATTTCTTTCTTTCTTCCTTTTCTACTCTCCCTTTTCCCCTTTCATCTCACACCTCTGACAAAAATCATTAATCAACATAAGAAAAAATTGTCAATTTGGGCAACAGGGTTTAAGTACCATAGATTTTTTAATTGCACTAACCAAATTCACAATATCTGTGAGGTTGTTTGACAGCTTTAAGTTGTCATGGTAAATTTGAATTTTTAAAACCCATATATCATGGCAGACCAAGAAAAAGGAAACCGAACACCATGAAGAAGCATTTGTAGACAGTTGTAATCAAATCTTATTCTCACTTGAATGACCCCACCTACGTATTGTTGTTCATGATGCATCTGAAACTGAAACACAACCATTTTAAGAAGGTTCTGATCTTTATTTCCATCACAATCCCACCACATTCAGCAACATAGGCGGCATTCACTTGAATGAAAACATTAGCCATTTAACTAGAGGGATTAGGAGATTAGGACTACTGGTACAAAGTTTACCATGAAAAGAATACGCTAAAATATGCTGCACAAAGACAACCACCCATCATCATGATCGCAACATTATTTTTTTAAAATAAAATAAAATAATTTTATTTTAATATGATATCAGCGGTTGGGTTGAAGGAGAAGGAATGCTTCATATGTTTTGTATTTCGAAAAGCAAAGTGATGGGTGCTGCGTTGTGCTCTGCTCTACAATAATAGACACGTTGAAACTGCTATATTCAAACTTGAGGAGATTCATTGGCTATTTTGTCATCTCTTCTTCTAAACCAGGTTAGCATGTTTTAGCACATTAATTCTAATAACTAGCCCTTTTCAAAACCACTAATTAACAAACGCAAATTGTTAATTTAAGTTTTTTTTTATATATATATAGTGACTTATTATTAAAGAGTTAACCTAATGTGAATACATCATCTCCCAAAACACATACATATTAATCAGCTAGCTAAGAATAGTAATATTAAATATTTCACAAGCTAGATACATTAAATAGAAATCATTTAAGTCTTCTTACAATATCCTCCTATTAATTCAACAAATAAATTATTGAAACATTTTTTTATATTTTAAGATATTAATCTTCTGTTTATTTTACTATCAGGAAATATATTTTTTTTAACAAAAAAGTAAACATTCCAATATAATTTTATAACTCAGACTAATTTATACATACATCTCAATGGAATTTAATGGTTCAAAATTATTTTTATGAAAATCACTTCTATCAATTTTAAAACAAACAAACATTAACTATATTTGCCTTTTTATTTAATTCTTCTTTTATATAAAATAAGGCCTTGCTCTTTTTTTTAAAAAAATTATCTGGGAGAATTTTTGTATTTAATTATTTATAAAATGAGTTTTCTTTTTCAAAAGCACTGCCACAGAACTTTTAATTTAAATTGTTTAATGCAAAAAATAATAATAATTCGAACCCATAATATTTGGCAATACTTCTCTTAGTAACAATATCAGTACCCGGCGCATCTCATGAAATAATAGGAATCTTTAACGAAGGTTGTAACCTGAATATATTGTTCTCGCCATAGAATCATTGGCAGCATATTCAACTCCCATTGCCAACGAACTCAGGCATTACACACAAGATGTTTCAAGCTAATTAACCATTGCGTCTTGGAAACACTTCAGGGCACAGTGATTATTGTTGCAGAAAATTAAGAATAAAGAAATTAGGGATTTTTAATTTAAAATTAGTGATGCATTTCATTAATTTTTTCATTTGTTATCAAACAAGATTTCACTTATTGCAGGCAATTTCAAATGTTATTTTTTTATGGAACTTTTATTTACCCAGAATAAAAATCAATAACAATAAGGTGAGAAATATGATTCATAAGCCTATTTATCATTGCAACCAAATTATGATCATGTTAATGCTTGTATCTAAAATTTGATGATACCAATATGCCACCCTTCAGTTTTGGTTGTTGAGTCACTTGTTAGTTGAAGATCATATGGGGAGTCACGAATTTTCTTCTTGTGGATTTCACAGTTTAGATTTGGAAAAAACTATAAATATTATCGTGACACAAATGTGTTCGAGCATTCAGGCAAATTCTACTCAGTTGCTGAGAGTCACATCCCCCAAGAGATTGACATATTCACACTGAGCACTTTACTGGATTGGGATGTCAATGGAGCCTGGAATCGCCTTTTGGGGATCACCCAAAGGTTTTATTTATCACTCCTAACCTTATTATTATTAGTATTATTATTATTATTATTATATTTTTATTTTAACTTCTAGTGATATATTTTCTAGAAAGTTCCAGGTACAAGGGAGCTGGTTATATTTGGGGTAGATGCTATTAAACCTTTTCTTGAAGTTGGAATAGTTTCTGGTATGCAATATTGAAGAAATATTAATTAATGTGCTCATAATTGATTTTGACATAGAGTGGTTGTAAATGCATGCTGATATGTAATTAATATCTATAACATGTCCTTCATTAACCATTTTCAGCCAATGGAGAGGAATTGGTTCATAAAGTGGATGTAAAACTAGAGAGGTGCTGTCTTTGCCATGAGATAGGGGTCACACTCAGGTAACATTCGTTACCAAACCAAACCAAACCATCACACGGAATTATAAGCCAGGAATATCAACAATAATGAGACCTCACATATGTAAACTAATGCATCTATTTCTGGGTTAATTTTTGGTTTTCAGGTACATTGCAATATTACATTATTTTCCATTGATTATAGATTTAAACAGACTACTTAGAAATGGCCCGTGAGTGCATATATCCTTTCTACCAAAGAATTGTGCACTTAAATATATTTATATTTATTTAGGCTATGATGGAATCACAGAAAATCCATGTAGTTTAATAATTAGCTTAATTTCCATATTCTTACATGTAGATTAATCAAATATGGCAACAAGAAATATGCGAGGATTGGGATAATGCCGATATATGGCGATGCAGACTCAACCAAATGGTTTGAAGTGGAACCTAATACCACATTTCATCTCATCAATTCTTTCAAGGATGGTCATGAGGTAACTTATCCATTGTAGTTTTTTAAACTGTGCAATAAGCACTTCACTTACCCGAACCGAGTTAATTGGCTGCATAATTAAGATTTATTTATTTTTCATGTTGTAGTATGTAGGTGATGTTGTGGGGTTGCAGAGCGCTAGATTCAATAATTCCAGGACCTGGAGATGGTCTGAACGAATTCAAGTGGTTCTCTCGTTGATTGAACATGCAAATTGGAGAGTTTAAAGAGAAATATCTCACATTAATTAGTATTTCATTATTATAAACATATAATTAATTTATATTTTATAATATATTTTTTTTTTATCATTTAGACATTCCTATGTACGGAGCTCTAGCAAAGCTATACTTTGAAGAATCATGTTCAGAGTTCCATGTGGTAAAAGATTCCATGTGTTTAGAGATTAATGTTGTGTATTAAGTTTATCTTTATTAATATAGACTTTATTTAATAAAAATAAAATTGCTGGTGTAAATATTATAAATTTATACCAACAAAATGATAGATCATGCTAACAGATATTTGTTGCTATAATAAATTGATATATATCATTGATGTATCATACTATTTATATAATATATATATATATATATATATATATATATATATATTTAGTTTAGACAAATAATGTTTATTGGGAGAGATAAAATTACATTAAATATCGCTATATTTTGAAAAAAAATAACTATTAACTAAATAATATTTTTAGTATAAAAAAATATAGACAAATCAAATGAGTAATAGTTAGTAAATGAATTTTTTAGTAATATAATAAATGGTAACATGTAAGATCAGATCTTCAATCAATTTCAAACCATATAAAAATCTTAAGTTTGTGCTTTCTCTTTGATGACAGATAGATATATATAGACAAGCAGTGCTATTTTAACACTTAAAATGAGTGTTTACATCATACACTCAGTATTTTTTAATGTTGAAATATTTTTTTGAAATCATTTTATGTATAAAAGAGTTTAAATAATACTAATATAATAAAAAAAATTAAAAAAATTAACAACAAAAGAAAATGGGTGTCCGGTGTTGAAATGAGTGTTAAAATAACATTTGTATGTATAGAAAAGAGGGAAGGAGATTGTTAATTAAGGAATCTTGCAGCTAACACCGGTCTAAATGTTCACGAGAGGAATATGCCAAACCAATGGAACCTCCACATGAAATCGGATAAGTACAAGCAATAACTATTTGGTTAATATCAAATATTTGAAACATGATCTTCTTGTATTATCTAAAAATTCTTACATTTTGACCCTTTTATTTAATTTATATTTAATAAGTTATAATTTATTAATTCATTGACAATTAGATATAAATTAAATAAAAAACTCAAATTAAATATAAAATTTTTTAAATTTACACTAGTGAAAGAAAATTCTTCATAAAATATTTATTTTCATTTGCTACATATATATATGTATAAATATTAATTATCAAGGTATGGTACATCTATAATGTTGCATCCAAACGCAATCAATTATTGGAAACACATATGGCAACTTCATACATACCTCCTGCAGCTAAATATTACTCCCTTCAGAAACGCCTTCCACATCAATCCATTACTTTAGGACTTTCCTCAGCCTTCAAGGTAATAAATCAATCTATGTCTTATTTAAAACCTTACTTTAAGTGGCTTGTCTATTAATGTTGCTCATTACTTCAATTTATGAGCAGCCAATGTTAACAGCGTTACCGCAGATTCCGCTGCAAATCAATGCTTCCAAAACCATGACAGACATTAAAACTAAATTTCTTAACGCTGTTGTAGATTCAGTATTTCAGTATGTCGAGCAGCCACTGCTTCCTTCTCAGGTCCGGTAGCTACTAACTCTTTTATCTCAGTTATTGGATCTTGTTAATTACTACTAAAAGAATATTAGTTCAAAAAAAATCATAAAAGAATGTTTTTATTTGCATTTTTAAATTTTAAATTTCGTAAACAAAGTTTTAAAAATAATTTGTTAATTAGGATAGTGTTTTGTAGAGAAACTTTGCTCCCGTGGAGGAGTTATGCGAAGCCGTGTCTATCAGCAACATTGAAGGCGAAATACCAGATCACTTTCCAGAGGGTGTCTTCATCAGAAATGGTCAATCCTATGCACTTTCAAACCTAATATTTTGATGAGCTTTACAATAAGAGTGTGCATCGACGAGTTTTACTTTTGTTCTTTCGATGTCTGAAATTTTTATTGGCTCGTTTTTTTAACCCGTTCTAATTAAGGCTGGACTAACCCACTTTACAAACAAAATATATTAATATTAATATTATATAACATCTAAAAATAATATTTTTATTAAAAAGATAATATTTATTACATTTTTGGATTCTAAAGATGATAAATACTTTATTAGCCAAACTTTGCTACTTTTAGTTATTTATTTTCAGCTCTATGTATTGAGATTAACGTTTTTTAAAATTTAAATTTTATTATTAATATAGAATTTATATATAAATGCATAACAAGTATAATTTTTGAAAGGAAAAAAAAAAAAACCAAACCGGATTAAGATAACCCAAACTATATTATAAACTGGCTTCAAAATATATCTTATCCAATTTAAAAAATTTAAACTCATCAAATTTAACAATAAGTTGAATCTTGTACATCCCAAATTAACATGAATGTTTTATCACTTTCTTATAAAGCTTTCAACTTTTCTCAATCACTTTTTGCATAATTTTCTTTTAATTTTTTTGTATGATAATTATTTTAATTGCATAAATTGAAATATATTTTTATCCTTATATTTTAATAATTTTAAATGTTAGTTTCTTTAAATAATTTTTTATTTTGATTATTATATTTTGTAATGATAGAGTGTATGCATTTTTTTTTATTGTATTACTGAGATCTAATAAATAAAAGGAGTTGAACTAGAAGAATAGTTTAAGTTTACAATTTTTATAATTTTAAATGAAAAACTATTTAATATTTAATATTTATAAAATAATAAATATATATACTATTTATTTAATATTTATTTTACGTAATAGTACAAAAATTATTAAAAAGATATAAAAAATATAATACAGTTATTTAAAAATTATTAGCAATACAATTTTTTAAATATATATATATATATTCTTTATTATTAATTAAATTATATTAAAAAATTATTATTTTTATTATTTTTAATAAATCACAATCAATAAATTTTTTTAAAAATATTATATTCCTTTCATTAAAAAAATAGTGACTTTTGCAAATTCTATTTCTTTTAAAATAATAGTTAGTTTATGATTTTAATAAAGAATTAATTATTTTTTAATTTATTCTTAAATAAAAATTATAGAAATAAACTAAAATATATATATATATATATATAAATTACATAAATATACAATAATTTTTAAAAATAATTACAATACTATTAAATATATTTCTTAATTTTTGAACCGTAACTTTGAAAGACTATTATTTTAAATCGGAAGGTTACTAACCCTCCTCGTACATTTAATGCTATCCACGTTTTAATTTTTGAGTAATTCATTTTCACACACGATTATGAGAAGAGAAATAATTAATGTTAAACACGTGTTTTCATTTAATACCTTCACTCCGCCACCAAACACAAACCAAAAAATAAATAAGTTGTCTGAGCAATGAATTCAATCTTTTCAATATTTAATGAGGAGAGAAGCAGCATAAGAAATGTATCAGTAAAAAAAATGTTAACCAATATTTTGAGATATTAGTCTAGAATTTAAAATAAAACTCTTTTATAAAATCTAAAAATATTTTTTTATCAGACAAAAATTAGACTAAGATAATATTTACATCTAATGCATTTGTTTATTTATGAATGATTTTTTTTTCTAGTGTGTGGCACTAATTTGTTTATATCATCTTATGTGTTGCCCATATACAGGAGCAAACCCAGTATTTGCTGAATTGAAATCATCAAAGTCTATCTTTGGGATGACAAATAGCGCTTGGGTGGAAGGAGAAGGAATGCTTCATGCCTTGTATTTCGAAAAGCAAAGTGATGGAAGCTGCACCATTGTCTACCACAACAGATACGTTGAAACTGCAACATACAAGCTTGAGAAACAAAGTAACAAGCCTTTGTTTCTCCCTGCCTTAAATGGAGATTCGTTGGCTATTTTGTCTTCTTTTTTTCTAAATGGGGTAAACATTTTGTACCATATTCAAAACAATTATCCTTTGTTCCAGAGATAACAAACTTAATTGAAGATTACAAAATATGATAAAATTAACTTATTTTATATCGATCTTGTTAATTAATTAGTGTGAATCAAAATATTTTTAAAAAAATTGTGTTAGAAATGTATTAAAAATTATGTTTTCATTAATGACATTTTAATAATTTTTGAAATAAAATATGCACACTAACTCAATATTGAATTAGTTAAGATCATCAAGTAGATTTCTAATGGTTAGGCCCAAAGTTATCTCTCACGAGTCATGAATTTCCTTCTTGTGGATTTGGCAGTGGAGATTTGGAAAACTAAATAAAGAATATAGCAACACCAATGTAATTGAGCATTCAGGCAAGTTCTACTCGGTTTCGGATAATCATGTCCCTCATGAGATTGATATCTTCACACAGTACTTTGAAGGAATGGAATCTCGACGGAGCTTGGAATCGTCCTTTTGCCAGCCACCCCAAGGTTTCTGTCTCTATATACATTATTTTTATTTATGCAACATTATACAGAATAATATATATATAATTTGCATTAAAATTATAGTATTTAATAATATTAATACATTAAATCATATAATTTTTAATGTATTTTGCTTGTATACGTTTGACGTACAATGTTTGCACGTGTGTGTGTATATATATATAAATCACATTTTTGGTTTGAAGTGCAGCACTTAATTTGTTAATTTCCTTGATTCAAACTACTAGTGATTTGTTTAATACAGAAAGTTCCAGGCACTGGAGAGCTGGTTATTTTTGGGATAGATGCAACTAAACCTTATCTTGAAATCGGAATAGTTTCTGGTAAGTGTGGTTTAAATTCCTAAATACTAATTATATTAAAGAAATTACTGATTGATTCTGTAAAACGGTTGTGCTGGTGTGTAATATCGATAACAAACCATTTATTATTAACCATTTTCAGATGATGGAAAGGAATTGATTCATAAAGTAGACATAAAACTAGACAGGTGCTCTTTTACCCATGAGATAGGTATCACAAGCAGGTATATATATATATAATGTTTCATTATATATATAGTACCCACCAAATGGAATTATAAGCCAGGCTATATCGATTAGAATGAGAACTGAGAATTTTTAATACATCACTTTCTATGTTTTTTTGTTAGCAGATATATTGTGATATTGGATTTTCCACTGACTTTAGATTTCAGCAGACTACTTAGAAATGGCTCGTGAGTACAACACATACATATATAGACTTATGTCACTATGATATATGACCACAGAAAATCTCTGTAGATGAATAATAAGCCATCCATGTTTATGCGTGCATGCATGTAGGTTAATCAAATATGACAATGAAAAATATGCGAGGATTGGGATAATGCCGCTTTATGGTGATGCTGGCTCAATCAAGTGGTTTGAGGTGGAACCTAATTGCACATTTCATATCATCAATTCTTTTGAGGATGATGATGAGGTAATATATCCACAAATTTTTAATACTTGAAACTGTCGAAGAACTCTTTTCAAACACGCTAATTGAGAAATTTTGTACATGTTGTACTAGGTTGTCCTGTGGGGTTCCAGCGCACTGGATGCAATAATTCCAGGACCTGATGATGGTCGTCTAAATGAATCTAAGTGGTTCTCTCGTTGTTATGAATGGCGATTAAACATGAAAAGTGGGGAGGTTAATGAGAAATATCTCACTGGACCAGAATAGTTTATGGATTTTCCAGTAATTAATCCAAGCTTTTTAGGAATTAAGAATAAATATGGATACACTCAAGTGGTTGATACCCTTGCCAGTTATGCTTCAGGTATTAGTTCTTTAAAACAGTTTCACCATTCAATAATTATTTAACAATTACAACAACCCTTAATTATCATAAAACTATTTTTTATATATAATTGATAATTTATACGTGTTTCTTGATTGACTATTTAAATATGCCTAAATACGGAGCTCTAGCAAAGCTATACTTTGATGGACCATGTTCGGAGTTCCCTGGGGTAAAGTGGCATGAAACATAGATTATGCTATATATATATATTCATAAAAGTGTTGATATATTGTCAAATGTGTAATTAGGGAAGCATACAACAAGAAGATCCTATAAAGGTGGAATACCATTGGTTTGAAAAGAATGTATTTTGCACTGGATCTGCCTTTGTCCCCAAAGAAGGTGGTCTTGAAGAAGATGATGGTTGGATAATCACTTTTGTTCACAATGAAGACACTGACATATCTCAAGTAGGTTAATCAATATTCTTGGATATGTTAAGAAGTTACTTGATCTTTCAATCGCAAGTTACATATCCTTTTTGCTCTTTCTTTCAGGTTCATATAATTGACACAAAGAAGTTTTCAAGCGAGGCAGTTGCCAAAATTACTATGCCTTGCAGAGTTCCATATGGATTTGACGGAGCTTTCATGCCAATCTCATTTTAATTTGCAATTAATCTTCAGCATTGTGTTGTTTAGTTCTTTGTTTATTGCTGATTGGCCAACACGAATAAGGAACTCATGGTAGTGGCATGCTTTAGGTCATTGAGGCTATTGTCTAGATCTAAGACTCTCCAATTATCTAAAGCTTCCAAAAAAACAAATTATATCCTTAATAAATTTTACTTATTGTTGATTACCTTCTTTTTTTAGTGATTTATATTATGTTTTATTTTAATGAGAAGAAAGAAAACATTGAAAAGAATAAGTAAAAAAGTAATTTTTTAAAATCAAAATTCAATTTTTTCTTCTAATTTTTCTTTAATTTTAATTTTTTTCTCACGTCCATTTTTTAGTTAACCAAACAGATAATTTTCTAGAATATGTAAAATTACCTAGGTATTTAGCCTTTATCATTTAAAAAAAAAAATAGACAAGAAACAGAACTACATTAGCCTTGTGACATTAGAGAAAAGGGTGTATAATTGGTGCACGGCAATAATTAGCCGGTAAATTCTTTGGTATCCATAAAAAAATTTTAAGATAGTGTAGATAATAAATTTTAACTAATAATATTTAGATCTATGTTTAAATAATAAATTTATTTAATAATAAATTATTATATTAATATATTTTTTATATTCTTAATTTTATCATTATTAATATTTAATTATTAACTTAATATATTATTTATAATTCTTTTTATTTATAATAAATATAAATTATATTTTATTTAAAACTAAAATTTATAAATAAAATAAAATAAAAAATTTAATATATATATATATATATATAACATGCTCATGTAACAACTAATATAATTTTAAATAAATTATATATAAATAATATTTTTTAACTTGATATATGTTTTTTTTATTGGTATAAATTTTTTGAGTACGGTCCTTATAAAAAAAAATTAAAGTACTATAACACACGTCTAATTAACAACATAAACATAAATTGAAAATACACTAGTGTGTCACTACTGTATTACATAAAAAATTTAAATAACAATAAAAAAAATATAAACATATGTTAATTTTAATATTTTAAACTTAAAAAGAGTTAGAAATGATAAAAGGATTTAACATTGAATCGTGCATATTATTCTCAGCTTTAAATATACAAAACGATTGGTAATAATTTGAGAATAAATCCCTATAATTATGCTTATAATCAGTCATACAACATTAAGATATTATGTATATAATTAGTTATACAATGGGATGATCACGATATGATTTGCATTGAGTTAAAAATAGAAACTCCGAAAAACAGAAAATGTATTAATTTACAATGACAGCTAAATACACCTTATCTCTAATCAGAAGAAAAGATATTATTAAAAAATTAAGGAAAATGATAGATGTAGTATAAACCAAGAAAATCAGATTCGATTGGTTTGTACTTGATATTATTTTCAAACTAATTCAAGTTGAATCAAAAAAAAATTATGATCGGATAAAAAAAATTACCATAAAACTGATCCGGACGAACTGCCAAAACCCTATACATGTAGCTTGAGAGCAAAGGAAGACATTGATATTACCCATAAGAAATGATCTTTACACACTTTTAGCGAAACCAGAAAATGTTAAAAACACGAGAGGTTGCCCCATTCTAAGGGTGTAGGCACAAGTCTTAATCTGATAATTACATGTGACCTATTTACAAAACAAAATAAGAAGTCACTAGTCAATTTGTCAATGCATAATGCATTCGATCTTATATGTTTAGGTAATCGTCGTTGTCAATGCATAACATATTCTAATTTTGAATTATGTTCATGTTATTTATAATGGTCCAAGCTTGTCCGTGCCCATACGCAACTTGAGGGACCCAACAACATGGTCCAAAATTATAAGCCTAAACTCCTCTATTGCCTTTGAGTCTTCACATATTTCGCAGCTCAAGCTTATAGACTCGAGTGTTATCTATATCCTATTAAATAAATAAATGTTTCAGTATAATAAGGTAAAAAATATAGATTCAATAAGTTTCAACTAGGACAATGTTTAACATAAACGGACCGTGCTAATCACATTACTATGATTATGTCAATCATAAAGAACGTCTTTTGGTCAGGGACAGAGCTCCCAGCTGATGCATGCTTTTGTCTTCATAGACCACAAGATATTCTTAATTAATTGTCAAGTCAAGCACTACATAAACCAACAAAAAGATAAAGCATGCTGGGTGGGGACTAGGTAAAATAAAAGACAAGATTGAAAGCATTTGAAGTTGAGTGTCAATTATCAATAAGTTCAAAAGGAATACAAGTATAAAAATTATTAGGTTAAATAAGTCACTCAAATTTAAAATGTGATTAAATAATAGTTTAATTAAACACTTATTCAATAGGCTTTTTTTTTTTTAAGAAATTTATATCATAAATCATACAATTTATAATATAAATTTAAAATAACTTATTGAAATAAAATTTAAAAAAACATATAAAAATTATAAATTATTTTCATAAAATTTCCTAAACGCCCCTTAAACTGATTCTCTATTACTGTCTTAGATTGGCTCGAACTAAAATTCTAATTAGTATCTACTTTTTTATTTCAACACATAAATGCTTATTTAGGAAGAATTGAGACCGAGAGAAGCAAAATCTTGTAGGATCTTCATAACCATAACATGAGTAATATCTTCAACCCCTTTAAGAACCGTTTGCTAATGTTGATGATGCTTCTTTCTCTCCCCTTCAACGCTGAAGCTCAAGATAGAGAAGATCAGAACCTGCCACAGTTGCCTCAAACTGTTCATCCAAGCAAGGGGATTGTAATAGCAGTGCTCTCCACAATGTTTGCCATAACACTTCTCTTACTTTTCTACGTCAAGTTCTGTCGAGTTAGCCCTCACCGACTTCTCAACCCAAACCAAGGTCTCCAAAACTTTCACAGTCTCACTCGATCAAGGTCTAGAGTTTCGGGGATAGACAAACAAGTAATCCAGACACTCCCTTTCTTCAATTTTTCTTCCCTTAAGGGATCCAAACAAGGCCTAGAATGCACCGTTTGCCTATCCAAATTCGAAGAAACAGAGATTCTAAGACTGCTTCCAAAGTGCAAACATGCTTTCCACATGGATTGCATTGACAAGTGGCTTGAAAGCCACTCTACATGCCCTCTTTGCAGGCAAAGGGTTGAAGCAGGGGACATCAAAAACCTCAACTTTTCCCTGAGCACAAGTTTCCTACGAGTTCCTTCTAATTTAACTGAGGACCCAAGTCTTGAAATCTTTGTCCAGAGAGAACCATCTCATAGAGGGTTTAACAATGGAAGTGGGTTTTGGGAGAAGAGGGTCATCAACCATAGAATAGTTATCTCTGATGTTGTGGCGAGAAGCAGGTGGAGTGATCTTAATTCTTCGGACATGTTATCGTTGAACTGTGAGATGCTAAATGATATGTGCAGTGCGAGATTCTCTCCTTTAGAATCCACCAACAGTGAAGACTTTCAAGGAACTTTAAGCCTTCTCTCTAGTTCCAATGAGAGAGAGAAGAGGTCCATGTCAGAGATTGCTAAGGTTCCAAGGTTTGCAGAAATCAGAGAGAGTGAAAGTGAAGAGAGGTTGTGGAAAATTTGGTTGCCAATTGCGAGAAGAACAGTGCAGCGGTTTGCAAGACAAGAAGGGAATTCAATTGAATTAGAACATAAACCTTTGCCTTCCAACGTTCGATCTCTGTAAAGGGACTAATTTGTAGGTACTGTGTAAGTTTGAGCAATGTTAATAGTCGGTGCATTCAGATAACATATATGTTTCTTCAATAATTATCGGATAATCTTTAGTTGTCCCTTTAAATTTTAGGTGTAGTTTTAAAATGTGTGTATATAAAAAAATAATTTAAAACAATATCGGTATCAATTTTTAATTATTGAAATCGAATAACTGTTCATATAGTATATGTTCTTAATAAAGGATTCCAACCCCACAAAGCATAAAAAGTTTGTTCTTGAAGAAGAAAAGATAGTAGGCCCGTTTGTGTATTATCTGCAATGGAATGAGTTAGTTTGTAGGAGAAATAACTTTATTTTAGATAGATGGATAAAAGTTTATTTATAAAAATAAAATAAAAGAGTAACGTAATTTTAATATAATTTTATTAATTTGTTTAGAATTAAATTTTTTATCTTATGAAGTATAAATGCTAACATAACTATACTAAAATTGAACACTTTTCCTTTTTAAAAAATTTCTCAAAGAATGAAAATTTTATACAGGGAATCGTGTAAATTATGTTTTCAAAAGCAAGCAAATAGGCATAGTATCAATATTATTCCATGGATTTTATTTTTATAATCGTATTTTTTTCTTTTTCTTTTTTATCATATCTTCTTTTATTTATTTATTTATCTCTTTTATCTACTCACTTTAAACCTATTTATAAATATATATAAAAAAATAACACATCTTATTAGCTGAAACAATAGATGATAATTTTTTTTTATTTCTATAAATAAGTATTTAAAATTCACTATAAAATTAAAGAAATAACATTTTTTTAATTTATGTTTAGAAAACATTTTTCAATAAATGATAAAGCAATGAACTATACACCGCTATATAAACATTTTTACGTTTGTTTTTTTAAAATTAAAGTTATGATTTTATTTTCAAAATCAACTTTGGTAACATCTGACATGTGAATTACGAAATTAAAAGCCAAATTTTAATTAAAATTAATATTTTAAACGTCTAACATTTTATTCTTCAACAAGACATCAAGACAAAATATGATCCTCATATCTTATCTTAAGTAATCATACGATCTAAAATAATGAAACAATAGTGTGACAAAAAAATTCTTCTCATCATTGAGTCAAGGTAAATCATAAACATTTGTCAACATCAACGTTAAAATGACAAATTACTAACCCCTGGATTCAAACTTAAGTTATACGTAAGATAGTAAAGATTTGTATTAGTAGATTAATTATAAATTAAATAATATATAAATAAGATATTGTAATTTTAAATCATTTAAAGAATTTTAGATGAATAATCCTCTTAAAGCTTATAACTCAATTTCTATTCTCTAATCTTGATTTGGGCGTTCATTTAAAATATTAATATAGTATTTGAATTTAAGTTAAAAAATAAATAAAATAAAAAGTCAAAAACAATTTTTAAAAGTCAAGAAAAAATAGCTTGCAACATTAAAATTTAATATAAAAGCTTATAAAACATATGTTATAATAAGTGTTCAAAAATCAATTCATTTCAAAATGAACCACAAAAAATTAAAATTTAATTAACTGAAAATTTAAAAAAAAACTTATAAAATATATAATAAGATGAGTGATCTAATTGAAAAAAATAAGAAGACAAATATTATTATAAAAATTATTGTAAAAGTAATATAACTCAATTTACAATAATTAACGCCTACAATTTTATATCTAATATGAGAAAAAATAAGTATTTTTATAATATTATAAAATTTAATTAAAATATGAGGATATATAAAGATAATTTTTGTTTGGTAAGTATGAGTATTTTATAACTTTTGTGAAAGGCTTTCATAATATATTCTTATTACTCAATTTACAATAATTAACGCCTACAATTTTATATCTAATATGACAAAAAAAGGTATTTTTACAATATTAAAAAAATTTAATTAAAATATGAGGATATATAAAGATGATTTTTGTTTGGTAAATATGAATAACTTTTATGATGGGTATGAAAGACTCTCATATTCCAGCTTGTTCAAAATGTGAGTGAAACATGTTAAATTTGATGTTTTCTATTACAAGTAAAATTTAGTTTCAAAGAATATACACTTATTCTAGCAATATTATCTCCTTCAATGTAAAAAAAGAAGAAGAAGAAGTTAAAATTGCCGAAATAATGTAAGTATAAATTAATTTGTTTTAAATTAAATATATTAAACAATATACTGATATCAAATAAAATAAATAATCTAATATTCATGTCTATATTTATTCTTGTAAATTTTTATAAACAAACATCTGTATTTAAATTCAAACTCATTTCACACCTATTTGTATTTATTGTAACGAATATGATTTATAAACATAAATAATCACTAAATTCAAGAACATTTGTCAAGCAAAAACTCTTGCTATCTTGCTAATGTATCACTGGTTTTTTCACTTTGCATGTCTACACAAAGTACAAACAACCTGGCCTGATTTATGTTATTATTATTATTATTCTGTAACTGTATACTAAACCACTCAAACACATCTACTTCGATTCGTTTTTAAAATAACATACCAGCATCAGTTAATTTGTATAGTCAATGTCTTACAACTCAATTGAAACTGGCCTCATGATATAAATTTTTTTATAATTTTGTTATGAAATTTAGATTGTTTGATGTACCACAATTTTAATTGATGCTCCACTGCATCAAATGCTGCCAGCTGTTATAGGACGCAATAACCACAGTTGTAAGTGAACCACCCAACTCAAACTAGGATTTAGCAGTAACAGAACTTGCTCTGTAATTGGTTCTTACTGTGTTTGACTTGCAGCCACACCAGAGTTACTATTCTTCTTCATACGATACTATAATCTCAGTAAGTTAATTAAACCAATCTGCTGCTAATCAGAGTCAACTCCATAAACCCTTTTAGCACTTCCATTTTCTGAACTGTTTAATAACTTTTTATTGAAAAATATAATATTTAATGTTATCAGTATAATAAATTTTACGATATCATATTATTTTTAGCACTTGAATAGTTTAATTTGCCGGTGACACTTGTATTCCAACTTCCCAAGGTATAACTATTCAAATTACAACAATTATTTCAATTTAGACTTAAAGGGAGAAGAAGTTACATATTGTAACCAATAAGTCTATAAAATTCAATACTGAACATTAAAATTCTACCGGCCATACTAATAGAAATTAGAAAGTTGCACTCTAAGTCGGTCCCCTTGCTGATAATGATCAGAACCACCCTATTGACACTTAGACGTTTGTCCTCTGTAGGCCAAACAAATGAGTGGATAGCTAGCTGAACAAGCCAGCGAAGACATCAAATAATAGAGCACGATCCTAAATTTTAAATTAGTCCCTTAAGTACATATAAGGAACATGCATCTTTATGAAAAAAAATATGAAACACCAAGAATTTATTTGATTTAAGACAATATGTCTTTTTCTTTTGACTTGATTACATTTCTAACCCCTTTATTATAATCAATAATTTGTGTCTGCATGTTATCCCGTACTTCAATTTGTCCTCTTTAACTTATTGGGTAATCCCTTCTGCTGCCTTATAAAGTAGCTTCGGAAAGGTAAAGGGAAATTGATTATTTACGTTAAGAAAGTATTTATTTTTTAATTTTTAATTCATTTTTAATTACAAAAACACCATCTTATTTTTATTTTTTTAAATTTATATAAAAAAATGTAAATAATAATAATGGTTTTCTTAAACTTAACAGCCAAACCTATTTGATTTTAAAAAAAGAAACATATTTTTATTTTTAATCACACAAAAAAAAAAGTTAGATGATATCATGATGTCTTTATATAATTAAAACAAAAAGAAAATATTTGTCCTCTTAATTAAAGTAATAAGCTGAAGCCTGATGACTTGATTCCATTCATGCAGATTGGGGCAGCACTAGATGGGAAGAGGCTGATGACTTGATTGCACAGTTGAGACACATTTATACCTTAATAAATACACCACCCATCTGTTCCAAACCCTTATTACATTTGTTTATAGCTCAACGACCAAGGATAAATGAAAGGTCCAAATTACTATCTATCAAGCCAGAGAGATCTCTTTCATATAATTTTAAGCACCCATTGTTCTGATTTAATGATGGATTTCTATGGCAAGAGAACTCTCCTGAGCTTGATGGACACCGAAAAGCCAGAACCCCCACAATCCCCCATTCACCTTCGTGTCCAAACCCACAGAGAAATAAGCGAACAAGATGTTCAGTTTAGTCCTCCAAGACCTTCAAGTTCCGATAGCACAATGTTCCCAATGATGCCACCTCCATGCCCAGACTCTCCATGGACTCTTTCCCCTCTTCCAACTCCTTCTCCTTCTCTTCTTTATCATTGCATCGCTTCACTCCACCGCCACGAAGGTAACATCTATGCCATTGCAGCTTCAAAGGGTTTAGTCTTCACTGGCTCAAACAGCTGCAGGATTCGTGTTTGGAAGCAACCAGATTGCATGGATAGAGGGTACCTCAAAGCGAGTTCTGGTGAGGTAAGAGCCATTTTGGCTTATAGCAACATGCTTTTCTCCACGCATAAGGATCACAAGATTAGGATATGGACCTTTACTGTTTCGGATAACTTCAAGTCCAAGAAAGTTGGTACTCTTCCTAGAAAAACCTCCATTCTAATGTTCCCTTCTAGAGGAAAGAACACGCCTAAGCACAAAGACTCGGTATCTTGCATGGCTTATTACCACTCAGAAGGGCTCTTATACACTGGCTCTCATGACAGAACCGTGAAGGCTTGGCGTGTTTCTGATAGAAAATGCGTGGACTCGTTTGTAGCACATGAAGATAATGTGAATGCCATCTTGGTGAACCAAGATGATGGTTGTCTTTTCACTGGTTCCTCTGATGGGTCAGTGAAAATATGGAGAAGGGTGTACACCGAAGACTCACACACTCTCACAATGACTCTGAAGTTTCAACCTTCACCCGTTAATGCTCTAGCATTGAGTTGCTCCTTTAACCATTGTTTCCTCTATTCAGCGTCTTCTGATGGGATGATAAATTTTTGGGAGAAGGAGAGACTTTGTTATAGGTTCAACCATGGAGGGTTCTTGCAGGGTCACCGTTTTGCGATTCTTTGTTTAGCAACCGTTGGGAACATGATATTCAGTGGATCAGAGGACACAACTATAAGGGTTTGGAGAAGAGAAGAAGGAAGTTGCTACCATGAATGTTTGACGGTTTTGGATGGGCATAGAGGACCAGTGAGGTGTTTAGCTGCATGCCTTGAGATGGAGAAAGTTGTGATGGGGTTTTTGGTGTATAGTGCTAGTTTGGATCAAACGTTTAAGGTGTGGAGGATTAAGGTTTTGCCTGATGAAAAGATGTGCTTGGACTACAGTAGCAATCAGTGTGAGGCAAGAGTGAAGATTAGAGACTATGATATGAGCCCGGTTTTGTCGCCTTCATGGGTAGAGAAGAAACTTCAAGGTAGCTACTTTCAGTAGGAATGTACGTATAGTTAATACTACTAATTAATCATTAATAAGTCCTCCCTGTATACGATAAATGATCGTAGAAAGGATAACCCGAAGCAAGCATCGTGTCTCATTTTGCTTGTGATATCTTTTAGCTGTTCTTTTCTTACACTTAGATATAGGAAAATATACGGAACTTTTCATATCTGCAAGTATCACTTTACTTTAAATAGTTTTATAATAAATAAAAACAGTAGATTATTACTCATAGAATGAATGAGTTACGATGTAAATAGCGTGTAGGAAAAAATATAAAATCCCTGCGAAGATAAATGGTTATTCCAACCAAAAATAACACAATAAAATTAAAAGCAGGATAAAGGACCAGAATAAATAATGTATTTTTTTATATGATTAACTTCCTGAATTTTTACCGAATGAATGAATTTTAGATTTAAAATCTAATTTTAATTTATATATATATATATATATATTAGGATTAGGTAAGAAAATCAACTCCCAACTAATTTCTTTTATTATTTATTTTTATTTATGAAGTAAAACAAAAGACGAAACATAATTCATCAATTAAATTTTCTTGGAGACTATGCTTAAAAATAAGAAAGAAAAATCTTATGTAAATACTATAAAATAAGGTTTGGTCCTATTCATGAAGATTATGTAAATATTTGATTCCAAAAAGAGAAAATCCAATTATTTATGAACAATTACGTACCAAAGCTTCTCCAAGGTGACTGTGAGGTAGCGAGGAATGCAACAAATTGATGCAGATGTAGCAGTAATGGAACACGTTGTGACAGCAAGCTTGGCCAATGTACGTAACACATTCAAAAACAGAGGAATTTGATGAATGAGATCATTTGTTATGAGAGCAATTTCTGGCCATGGCTTTTCTAGGTCCTCCTTAACGAGGTAAGGTCACTTCTCATCACTCTTCTTAAGTGGGTGAAGGCGTGGAGCCACTGGCTTGGATTTTGGTTGAATCATTTATTATATGACAACGTAGTAACGTAGCCTATCATATGCCAATTTTAGCTATCATCCCGTGGTTGGTCGTTGTCACATATATTATAAATAAATAAAAATCCTAGTATTTTCACATATAAAATTTTTAACTTATTTCACTTTATTTTGGAAAAATAAAAAACTCTATTAATAGTTTGGAATATGTTTTTTAATTTTAATCGCAGCTTGACAATGTTCTCTAGTTCTACCTAATACTGTCAGATTAATTTATACAAAATAGAATAGTTCAACGTACTATAATCATCTTTTTTATGTTATTGTTAGGTAATCGATGCATATTTAGTTTCATCCGCGTTAATGAGGTTGTAAGAGTTTGAGAAATATTAGAAATATATTTAATATAAATATTTTTTTATTAGTTAACATTTCTATAAACTCAAGGAATGACTGGGTTGTACTTTCTTTTTAACGAGTATCTTTATTAATAAATTTAATGAATAATAAAAACTATATTTAAAGATTATATTATTTAAAAATATATATATTACTATCACTTCTTAATTATCATAATATTCAATGTATTTTTATTAATGTAGTAAAATTTTATATAAATTTTTGGACGAATTGTGGTATATGTTGTTCCAAGTCTTTTCGATTTCCTCTTAGTACTTTTCCAAAAGTTATTTAAATTTTTAAAATATCAACCTACTGGTGAAGGCTATAAATGAGATTTAGCACTTCAAATTTAAAGTAATATATGGATTCACTTAAAAAAATAAAATGAAGAATTATAATTATCGATTAATATTAAAAAATAACAGTATAAAATTAAAATAATTAATAATTTATTGCATATATATTTAATCATAATTTCAACCTTTAATTTTTAAATTATAATTATAATGTTTTACTATATTTTTAAATTAAATATTTTAATCTAAAGAAGCCAAATACCCGTAGTGAAAATTAAGTTTCCAACTAGTCATTCCTAGTTTTTGCTATGCTAAAAATTGCCAACTATTCATGGATTACATTCATACTTAACATGTCAAGTTGATGGTTCTATTTGCAAAATAGTGTCCAACTCAAATCAAGGACTAACTTGTTAATTAACAAACTAAATTTCGATCACTTAGTTCGTCGAACTTTAAGTATTCGTAGACTAATGAAAAATAAGTCAAGTGTTTCAAGAATCAAAATTAATATTTCAAAAATCCGTTCTTATATTTTAAAAACCAAAAAAATTAATACAAAATAAGTAATTTTTCTTTTTAAAAAAAGTTAATGTTTTACAATTTAAAAGATTGACAAGAGTGAAACTAATCACCGGTTAGCACCTCCGTTTCCAATAACTAATTAAATTTATTGTTTCAAATTGAACTAAGTTAATGTACATTTAAGTCAATTAATTTTAAAATATAAAATCATTTTCCATAACATAATTGAAGAAAAATATTTATTTTAAAAAAAAATTTGCGATCATATGTCTATGCATGTTATGATTTAATTATAATATCTGTTGATAATAGGCAATTGATGTGCACCAATATATATATATATGGTAATTCAAAGATTGTATGTAATATAAGAATATTAGTAAGTCTAACAACTAACTGTGCTGTGAAGTGAAAGCATGCATCACCTTACAAGTATGACAATGTAATCCATGAATAATTAATGTTAATTTCACTGTCTTTTAATCAACAAGAGATATAAAAGAAAATAATTGGACTATTCTTGTGCGTAGATGAAGCATTTACTTAATTAATTACTTGAGTTTGAAATATTAATACATAAGTTAATTATGTCATTTCAATTGAGCCCCCTCGGAGAAGTAAGGGCAATGTAAATGCTCCTCCTGTCCACGAAGTTTACAAAACTAAACGTTACATATGCATTGAATTATTGGGGGGAAAGATCCCTAACATGTTATACATAAAGAGACATTTTCAAACACAGAAAACAAAGATGACTAGATATGCTTAGGAAAATACAATTAAGTTGCTAATGCATGCTATTAATTACTGATTAAGATTCTTCATCTGGAGAAAGAGGAACATGGGATCGGTCAATGAAGAAAGTCTCGTAGGTGAAACCAGCAAGAGCACCACCAATGAGGGGTCCAACCCAGTAAACCCAATGATCAGTCCAATTGCCAGTAACCAAGGCAGGACCAAAAGACCTTGCTGGGTTCATAGAAGCAGCTGAATATGCCCCACCAGCAAGGATGTTAGCCCCAACTACAAACCCAACCAACGTTGGTCCAATTCCAGCAAGTGCTCCTTTCTTTGGATCAACCATTGTAGCATACACAGTGAACAGCAATGAGAATGTCAACACAATCTCCCAAATCACTCCTTGACCATACCCCACTCCACTGCCCAGCGTATGAACTGGAGTTGTCTGCAATCAGTAAGTATTTTATGTGAATAATTATCACATTTATTGTTTAAATATATATATATATATATATATATATATATAGATTGATAAACTAATTTTATATAGATATATAATAATGTATATAAATGACAGTGCTACTCATTCATTAAATTTATATACCAAATTTCACAAATAAAGAAAAATTGAACATAAAAATATTAAATAAAATGAGCAATGTAAAAAAATTAAAGAAAGATTATTTATAAAAAGTTATTATAAATGTATATATATCATTCCCTATATAAATAAGAGAAAATATGAGCTTGATGATGAATATAATGTGAGTGACTTTTACCAGCTTTAATATTATTATTGATTAGAATGTATTTAATTTGGAAAAAAAAAATATTTTGATTCATTTATTTTCATAGATGAATTTTTAAAATGACACATTCTATTGCATAATTTGTATAATTACCTGTCCTCCTGTGAGGTAGTAAAGCAGATAAGAAGCAGCTGCTGATGCTACTAATTGGTCAATCCAATAAAGGATGGAACGGAAGAGGGTTATATGACCGCCGGCGAGGAGGCCGAGGGTGACGGAGGGATTGAGGTGGCCACCGGAAATGTGGGCGGCGGAGATCATTACAGCCACCACAAGTGCATGTGCCACGGCCACAGCAAACAACCCCACAAGTGCATCCCCACCTAGCTTATCTAATTGTCAAAAAAAAATAAAAGAAGTGAGCAAAAATCAAAATATATATTATCTTAGTCCAGCAACAAATTTTGAACACAAATTACAAGTAACAAGGTTATTATAATGAGTGATGTGTTAGTACATACCAACAACCATGGAAGAACCAACGCCAACAAAGACAAATAGAAAGGTGGCTATGAATTCAACGACGAGAGCCTGAATGCAATCTGGCTGAGTGACCTCTCGGGTAGTTCCAATGGCGAATTTGGCCATGGCTTATTCACAATTGCAGAATCAAACTATGTGATACAATGCTAAGTGCCAATTATATATATATAAACAAAAGCATATTCGTAATTACGTCCAATCTTTAACAACTTACCAATGCAGGTGGACAATAATTGCACTACATGTTTAATTATATTCCCCCTTTGACTATTACCAATTATTGTTATTATAATTATCATTTCGTGGCCAACGCCGCCGCCGACTACTAAGTTAATCACTTCATCTTAGTTTGATATCTAGTTCTAAGAAAACTGTAAATTCAACTATTAAAAACATCCATAAGACTTTGTTCATATGTATTTGTTAAATAAAAATCATTCATATCTTTTAATATATACTATATAGTGTATATATTAACTACTTCAACGATCTATTACTCTACCAAAAAATATACTGCATGTTTAGTAATAAATAAAATTATTAAATGTTGTAATTGTCTTTATTAATATCTTTTCTTGTTTGACAAAAATTAAATTTTTAATTTTTAAAGAAAATTGCATCAATTAATTTGTAAATATAGAAAATAATAGATTATTATACACACGCATATCATTAAACCTTACTATAGGTTTGGTATTTATTACTTGCATTTTGTTAAAGTTTTATTTGACAGCCAAAAATATTTATATTTGAAAACTCAATGATAAAATTGATATGTGATTGAAATAATAGTTTTATTTTCATACATTTAAATTTATTACATTTTAAATTAATTTAATTCAAAAGTAATACATTTTATCCTCTTATTTAAATTTTTTCTTTTATTCAATGATAAATTTAATACATTGAATATTAAATATAATTCAAAGTGAATAATTATTATATTTAAAATTAAAATAATTAAATCATACTTTTAATCTCAAAAATGAAAAAAAAAACAAATTATTATAAATCTTTTTTATATTTAATATTAACCAGTATAACTACTAATTAGTGATTTAAGATATAAAAGTGACAATAAATTACAAATAAAGAATTTAACTCTTCTAAAGCGAAAAAATGTGCAAAATGAGAGTAAGAATTTATCAACCTTTTAATTAAAAGTAATTTAAGAAGATAAAGATATAAATGGTTTAAGAAATAACAATAGATAATAAGGAATAATAATAAAAATTTCCTGCATTTAATTCTAGTATAAACTTAAATATTATTATTTATATTTTAAATGAATAAAATTCAATGTTAAATATTAGCCAAGAATTAGTAATTAAACTGTTACTTACAAAAGAAAGGGTACTAGTATATGAGAAATACTATATTCATGCAACAAAATTAAATAATAATGTATATAACTTTTTAATTATTCTTCATGATTTAATTTATTTATATTTTTTAATCGCTCGTATTTACATGAACTATTCTACATATGTATATGTAAATATAAAGATAATAACAAAAGAGGGTACCTCTTTTCATCCGCAGTAACGCATTGCCCCGCATAAGCATTCCACCAATTCAAGCTTTAATTATTTTATTTTGTCCGATACCATAAAAAGCCTGACATTTTTTTTTCTAAGACGACAGAAATATGAAAAAGAGAGAGAGAAAGAAGTAAAAAAATGTGTAATATAATAAATAATAGAAAGAAATAAAAAAGAAAAAAACAGAGAATGAATATGAAAATATGAATAATCTTGAATTTATATAACAGTGTTTATCTTATGAGATGTAAAATAAGTAAAAGAAAAAGGGAAATAAAAAAGTATATAAAAAAAAATCCTTCATTTTAATTCCTTGGCATAAGAATGTGAGGTCCTCAGCGCTTTAATTTTTAATTTTCATGATGATGATGACGGTGGTGCCATGCCACTACTTTCCCTTCTGTTCTGTCAAAACATGTTCACTGTACTTGCGTCAATTTTAATAGCTTAGACTTTTCTTTAAAAAGTGAAAGAAAATTTCCTAAATATCATGATTGGGTCAACGAAATAATAAGCAAAGCAAAGGACATTTCAGGTATTAGAAAGGTTTCTCTGTTCATAATTCCTATAGTGACTTCAATAAATTAACTTACGAATGAATATGAACTCTCCTTATCTACTCTGTGGGGTTATAATGAGTAATTTTTTTAAGAATTTTGTAATGATAGTAAAATTTTACTGAAAAGATAAATATTTATTATATTTTTATAACTTTAATGTAATAAATATTTATCTATTCATGAATATTTAAAGTCAATCCTAAAAGTTGAGGTTAGAAAAATTTATTTCTTTAATTTATTTTTCTTCCTAAGTATAATTTATTTATAAATTTTATTCATTTCTTAAAATTAATTATTCTAATTTCTCTTATGATTTAATAATTTGTATTTTATATTATATTTTAAAGTGCTACTTACATGAAAAAAAATAATACTTGTATGCAAAACTCTTACTGATATTTAAGTGAATTTTGTTTTACTTTTACTAAATAATTTAGATTTTTAATTAATAAAGTCAGCGCATAATTTCACTAAACGGAGGATAGCCTCACCTTGTTCAAATTACAAATCCTTCAATCCACATAATGTATTAAAAATAAAACACTATTGGGTCACTTTAATTTTACCAGCCCAGTAAATAAAAAGGGTAGGCCCAACCCAGTAGACCCTTTAAGCCTATAGCTGCAATGAATGAAATTATTCGATTTTATTAAACAAAACGACAAGGCCATTACACACACACCTACACATGACATGCTTGGATTTGGATATAGCAATAGCCAATAGGAATATAGTACACTATATTGCAACTTTAACGTAAGAGAGACACATGTTGGTTGGAGTATGAGCGTTACTAACTGAGAAGAAGGAAACAAGTTATCACATCATTTGCATGGCAATGGCTTCATCCTTAATGTTACCAGCTGCAGCTATAGTGCTACCTTATACCACATCATCATCATCATCATCTACTTCAAGAAGATTTGCTCTCTTTCACCTTGTCACCACTGGTGCTATTGGTAATCTTTGTGCCTTTGTCAATTCTACTCACAAAGCCTTATAGTACTTGTTATAACTTGGTTCTCTGATTCTTCATTTGGTTATTCAGTTCTCCCAAAATCTCAGTTATTTGGTGCAAAAGAATCAGAGCTGTTTAAAGTAGCAGAGGCTAATGCTGTAGAAAAGCTAGAACAACCAGAACAAAATTTGTTTGACTGGGTCAAAAATGACAACCGAAGATTTCTCCATGCTGTGTACCGTGTTGGAGACTTGGATAAGACTATAAAGTATACTATGTTTGAATTTGTGAATGATGCTTGAATGTGAATGTGTGTGTGAAATTTGATTACATTGTTGGCATGCAGGTTCTACAATGAATGCCTTGGCATGAAGCTACTTAGAAAACGTGACATACCAGAAGACAGATATACTAATGCTTTTCTTGGATATGGACCTGAAAATTCCAATTTTACCGTTGAAATTACTTATAGTGAGTTGAGACTTGAATGCTACACTTTTTTGTATAATCAATATGTTTATATGTGGTTTACACGTTATAGTTAAACACCAAAAGGCTATTCATAATACTTGCTATTTCTTGGTCATCGCAGATTATGGAGTGGATAACTACGATATTGGAAATGGTTTTGGTCATTTTGGTGTTGCAGTTGAAGATGTAAGCTCTTGGATTAGATGATATAGCATAATGGTTTACAACAGCTACATCTGCAATGCAAAACGTAGAAACAGTTTGATTTCCATTAATCCATCCTGGGTTATTTTTTACTTGAATATGGAGGACCAACTTATATCTGACTGCTATTTTGGATTCAAATTCCTTGAAGTTTTTTCCTTTTTGTTGTTACTGGTAGGACAAATGCATAACCAAGAGCATTGTGCACCTGCAATTAGACACTTTAATGTTATATGACTCCAATTAATGAATTCTTTAGTCAAGGCGTGTTGTTAAAATGATTTTGTGCCGTCACATTATGAATTTCGTAAAGGAATTTAAAAACTAAATGACCTTTATGCATTAAGAGTGCCTCAAAATCTCCATTTCTTGGTGCTCTATGTTCATTTGTGCTGTATGATCTTTCTGAGGCAACTAAGATTATTGTGGTTTCTTTGCAATTTTGTAGGTTGCAAAGACCATAGATCTAATAAAAGCAAAAGGGGGAAAGGTTACGAGGGAACCAGGGCCTAGTACAGATGGCAGTACAGTAATTGCTTTCATTGAAGATCCGGATGGTTATAAGTTTGAGCTTTTGGAGAGAAAACCCGGTCCTGAGCCACTATGCCAAGTGATGCTTCAAGTAGGTGATCTTGATCGTGCCATAGCCTTCTATCAAAAAGTGAGTGGTTTTACTGCTCTTATTTTAAAGTTCCCTTCATGAAGAAATTTTCAGTTTTGCTTATATGTAAACTCACAAGTAACTTGATGTTTTTCCTTGTCTTTGTTTGATTTCAAAGGCTGTTGGCATGAAACTTCTCCGTGAGAGAGACAACCCCGAGAACAAGGTGCCTCTACCTTCGGCTATTTATCATATGCATGCCATTAGTGTTCCCGAAATAGCTGTTTGGATTTATGTTTATAATTTCTACGTAAGCAAACTTAATGAGATATGCTGATTATAAAGTTGTGAATTCTATCTAATTAACCTGCCTAATCTTGAACATGACATATTCTCCTCCAAGAAAGTGGTTTTTGAATAGCTTTTAAGACTAGTACTCACTTAAGCAAAACTAAGTTTGCCACCTAGGGTGATCACTGAATGTATTAGGTAGGAGTTTCTGGAAGGCTCTATACATTTCCCATGGTAATATAGTTCCTTCAACCGTTGATACGTTTGAAAACTATCCCCTATTTTGGAAGGGTAGGTGTTAATGATTTCCATTTAACCGAAAATCTAATAAGCTTCAGAAATTTAATACCAGTTCTGACTACTATGCTAATGCTATTTTTGAATTGTTGTGAAATGCTTGTCATGATAACTCTGCTATGTTTTCCATGTCTACCTACATCTGTTGTTTATCATTGATTATGATGGTTTTCCAGAACACAGTAGCCATCATGGGCTATGGTCCTGAAGATAAGAATACTGTTCTAGAACTGACATATAACTATGGCGTCACTAATTATGACAAAGGAAATGGTTATGAACAGGTAGATTCTATTCTTTTTCTGTTTTAAAAAAACTTAATCACTTTTGTATGGTCTCAGTGACTCTTTGCTGCATTTCATTGTAAGAATGCTACTCAGTTTTCTGTTTGAACAGGTTGCAATAGGCACAAATGATGTCTACAAGACTGCAGAAGCAATCAAATTATGTGGAGGGAAAATTATCCGTGAACCTGGGCCCTTGCCAGGTATCAACACCAAGATCGTAGCTTGCTTGGACCCTGATGGTTTGAAATTGGTATGACCTTTTAATTTGTTTGCTTGTATGTGTTTTAAACTTTAACCTTGTCCCTAATAAAATTGACTTACATGCACTGATAAGTATTAAGCACTTAGTTGATGAATTGATGTGTGAATGTGTAATGCATAATAGATAGTTTGACTCGTTTATTACTTCATGCAGGCGTTTGTTGATAATGTTGATTTTCTGAAGGAACTAGAGTGACTATTGCACGGTTCTTGATCCTACTCATCTTCCATGAAATCATGGTAGTTCAACAATTATGTTGGTGAAATCTTATAGTATAGTGGTAACTGTCAAATCTACACCTTCATAAAGTAACCCCTCCAATCACTGTGAGTGGAAAAAGGAAAGAAAAATAAAAACATATATACACAAATTGTTGCCAATGCAAACCCATTATTTTTTGCTTATGTTACTTTGACACGGCAATTCAACATATACTGGATCCCCTCAAGCCAAAGCTGTTTGTCTCCTTTACTTGCACATTCAAATTCTATTATTCTGTCTATTGTTTTAATTCCAAAATATGCCCTCTTGTCATTGATGTTTTCCTTGTCCCTCCCGGGCCAAGCTAGGATATCACTGCAAACTCCAGTGACTATATCTGCCATTTCAAGCCATACCTTAACATTGTTGACAGAGAGTGTGACAACAATAAAATAAGTAGGTGTTGTGTAGAAATTTTACTTACATTTCTTCTTTTTTGTGAATGTTCCTGCCATATGCTTGCTTTTCATTTTGACTACAACCTGTTGTCAGTTTTAGTTGAATAGATAGTCCAATAACCATTTAAAGGAGATAGTCACATAACCAATAATTATGATTTTCAGAATTATTAGTGGATACTCTGTCAGTGTATAAAAGTAGAATTACATATGCGACATTATTCCCGTAATGTCATTTCTCAATTCTCACAAGCCTCCCACCATTGTGGGAATCTGGAGAGTTTCACATAAATCAGCCTTACCCAGTGGACTGAGGAGGCTATTCGGGCAGCAATCTTTACAAAAAAATGTTTCATTAAATAATATAAAGAAACTTACATATAACATGCAATACGAGTATTTTAGACATAAATGAGCACATACTTCGGTGTAGAACTTTATAGTCATTATCAGAAAATTATTAACTGATTGGCACCTTGAACTTTACGAATACTATAGTTAAAATATGCTGAGACTTGAAACAAATGTATAATTGAGTGATATAATGAGAATAGAGTAAGATGTCCATACTTAGTTTCTATATGTTATTTCCAATAATAATTTTAGAGCTGCTACAGCATTCATTTCTATATATTGACAATGCATCCAACATTAAATTTTTCTCAAAATTAGTAACCTGCTCTGGTCAGATATGCTCTTGTATCTAACTCATAAATTATTGGACCCTCATGCCTATGATTTGTTGATAGATATACGAAATGTCTTCTATCAATTACCTGCAAATTTGAGTTTATATTGAAGGACACTTGCTTCCAGTGAAGAGCTCCTGTTATTGACAGTTAAAATAGCATGGTTACTTATGCTATAGGTGTAAATTTCTTTCAACATTTGGAATTATTCTTTTATTATTTCCAATTTCAATGAAGCCGTTATTGCAACCATGTTAGTGACCATACCTTTTCTTGTACGTTTGAGAAGTTCTCCACCTCTAAAAACATAGTCCAGTGCGGTCAAGATGTTTGCCTCCTTGCCTTCATCACAGTTGTCCTCAACTAGAGGTATTGTAGCGGCTCCAAGCCCCTTTTGCAGCCTTGCCTTTAGAGTAGCAGCTCCTCGCAAGGCTGCCAACCAAGCGTTTAGTTCATTAGATCTTCTCTTATTTCATGTTAGTATTTAATTAAGAAACGAATTCATAGATTGCAGGTTTTAGCCCAGCTTTTCATACCATTATGTTGGTCACTAAGTATATTTATTGTTCTTTTCATTTGAGCTCAGGTTAATTTATGGAGCTAGATGACTTCGTAAAAATTGCAGATTTTGCAAGAAGATTAAAATTCGCTTTGTGTAGGTCTTTTACATGGATCGAACATATATCAGTACCAACTGAAGATGTTTAAAAGCATAGTTCATTTTGGTCTGAGATTGAGAAATGAACTTTAAATTCAGATACCAGTGGCTGCTCCAGCTGTAAGAGTCATTATATCTCCATTGGTTTTTGCATTAATGGCAGAGTTGACCACTGCTAAGATTTGGTCGTGTTCAGCTCCCATATCTTCAGCAATCTCAATGCAGTGAGAGGCTACTAGAGCTGCTGCAGATGCAATAGCAGCGGAAGTCATGGGAGGGTTCTTTTGGTTGGCATTAGGCATTTCAGGTGATGCTGTTGAAGCTGCAACTGCTGCAATAGCGGCAGCAACACCAGCCACAGATACTGCAGCATGCAACTGAGCATTATGGGTCCTAATTTCTTGTTTTTTTCTCTCCTTTTGATCTTTCAACCACCTACCCATTGTCCTCCCTCTTATCAAGCTCCTGTAAAGCTGGTAAGCAATAAATTGCACCAATAATAAAGTAAATGAAACAAATACTGAGTAGTAACAGATTGAGTTGTTATTTGAGTATAATTGATGGAGATAATCATGTGATTGACTGCACGATACCCCATTTCTGAGTAAATTTTGACTTGAAAGGAATTCTGGACTGAGTGCTTGATGGAGTAAAAGTAAATCCTGTACATTGGGGATTACCATGTTATTAATTTATACACACTAAAGATTTACAAGGTATGCAAAATATGTTTTTGTAGTTGTGGCCTGTGAGTGTTTGTAATTGAAGGTTCAAAGCTATTGACAAGAGGAAACTAAAACAACTTCACATGATGATTGAGTTGTCTGAATTTCCCGCGGGTTAGTAAATGATTTTAATGTGAAAGAAAAGTGAAGCTCATTTAGCCGCCAACAAAAAGCAGTTAGTCATGAAAGCATGCTAAGGCCAAATGATAGGCTTCAAATTCTTAATTGAAACTGAAAAATGGGCCAAATTGTTGCATGTACATTATGATCATATTTCTCACTATATAGGTTAACATTAAGCAGTAAGGTACCTTTTTTTCGTTACTGTCTTTTGGCAAAATTGGACGGCAACACCCGTTAGATAACTGCACAAAAAACTTACATCAGTTCAGAAATAATATTAACATACAGAAGCAACAAACACATACAACAATATTGTATGCTTCTTAATATTGAAGGATCCCAGGACCAGAAAAAAAAAGGTCCAGCTTATGGAAAATTTCTTTCCTTTGAAATTCCCATTTTGAAGGACTTAGAATCTCCTTTTTCCTTTTCTTTCCCCCATCAGGTGTGTGTTTCACAGAAAGTTTGGATAATTGTCAGTTTACATGCTGCATTGTCAACTAAAAAGGAAATATCTAAAAGTAGTGTTAACGGCTAATTTGAATAACCCTTTTAAATTCTCAAACAAAATCAGAAACAATATCCTTACAGAATCCTTTGAAGCAGTGGAACTCTTGGTATCAAGTTGGTTGCCAGAAGGGCATGTAAGTGGCATCTCAATACCATTGCCAGTTGTGATATTAGTGCTGTGCAATGCTTTGGAGAGTTCCATAGCGGAAAGACTCCATGATCTAGCAAGGAACTCCATAGATTCAGTTGGAGTATCAGGTGGAGCACAAGATGATGCAGGCCAATCTGCAGGAGCATTCTCATCTATGTTCTCCAGCTGGTGAGCTGAGCACTTAGAGAAAGGGGCATTGGAGCTCACTGACATTGAAAAGGAGTCAAGTGCTTTCATCAAAATGAAGCTTAATCATAAAAATTAAAAGAAACATGCATTTGTTTTTGTCATATTCTGTCAAGTAGGTATATACTCATATGATAACTTTTAATGCCTGAAGAAGAAAACTCAGTAGTTGTATTGAAATAAAATGTTTTTTCATTGTACCAACCAAAGAATGTTACCACTCACTTGTTAATGATATACCCTGAGGTCTCAGTAAATGAAAGATATCATGGTAAGAGTAAGAATTGAGAAAGCAAGAAGAAGATGATGAGAGGACTGGTGATCAACAGTTTGATATTTAAGAAGAAAGTGTGACGTGGTTTCCAAGTGTTTTTTATTGAGGAAAATGAAAATAATATGAAAGATTCTTAGTGCTGAACGAAAGGACCCAATTTAAAGGTCACTCATTCTTGTCTCCAACTTAAAATTGTTGCTTTTGATTTCCACCTCTTAGTGGTTTATGCATAAAGAGCTAAAGACCTGTTTTTATGGCAGCGGAGTTCATCATTACTCAGATTCTGCTTTGTCACCACTACCACTTTCTAAAGTAGAGTTTGGGGACCCATCTGTATGCTATTCCTTTATTTTGATAACTTAATAAACTTTGGTTTATCACTGCCAATTGGTTCCAGGTACAAGTTTATCTCATACACGTCTGTGTTTGCTGTTTTCACAGTTTGCATAGCCATGGAGACAAAGTCATTCTTTTGGTTACAGTGTTCCCGCGTGGCCCTTTTGTCTTTTGTCAATTAAACCAAACGACAAAGGGTACTTTCTTTACCTTCCTTTACTTCATATTTTCTTTAATTTTGTTGTTTATTACTGATATGTATATAAAGTTATTAGATGGTGATTCGTCAGGGAACCATTACATGACAAAGAAATTGTGAAGTGCGCAAATTGGCAATTTAAAGATACAAGCCATCAAAGTTAACTCTCATTCCTTTATTGAAGTATTAGTAGTTATTACTTCTTATCATTTTATCAAATTTGAAAAACACATGCACCAACATTTGCAGGGTCCAGTATTTGACAAGGATGCTGAATATTTGCTTGCAGTCAAACTTCTTTTAATTCGAGCCACCATTGAAAGAAGGTTCACTAGACATTAGAATACTAACCTCAAGTCCAAAACTGAACAGCTTAAGTTGGATACTAACACGAAATTCAACAAAAACAAATGGAAGCGAATAGTTTCAATAAACAATGAATTGAATTGACTTATGAAACACTTGTTGCTTTGTAGGGGATGAGATACAATGTGATTATATTCATATGCTGAAAAAGCTAACTGTACAAAAGGAAACACCTATCAAATTTGTGTACTGAATGGAAGAAAAATAAAAGGTGAGAATAGTTGAAGACTGGGACAAAGAGAAGGATTGTGGCTTCCCCTCACCCATACATGTTTGACTCATCATAATTAGAAAAAATTAACGCCGCCAAACCCCCCTCTTACATTGACACTGAGCCTCGTGTGCGCATCCACCAGCATACCACATTCTTCAAAATAGTTCAACCTTGATACTCTCCCTTTTACTAACTCTTATAATGGGGGCATACTCTCCACTTAACATGATATATCCATTAAAGCATGATGATGTTATGTGCAGGAAGCTTGTCATGTCATGGTATCTTGCTTCTCAAAAAAAGTCTATTGTTCCTCTCCAGTAAAGTGAGTGACATCACATTTGCAACAATGAAAACAAGCTCCAAGTGACCTTCAAAATCCTGTATGCCTGTATGAGAAACAACCATGCCAGTGGCTCAGCAGTTAGTAACTACAGAAAACTCGATAATTATATAGCAATATAGCAGAGTTACATGTTCTAGATAAGCGATTTTCTTACCTACTACTTGGCTGAAGAAATTCGGCGTAGTGAAGGAATCCAGCTGCTTGAAACACGTGAATTGCTCCCAAATACACGACCCAGGTTAGAGGTTCCTGTCGGCCTGTCCAGTTTTGAGACATTTTCTGTAGAGGATCTGGGCACAGCTGATGCAGATGGACTATTGTTCACACACTGCAAAAAATTATCTTAATCAAATGAATTTTTTCATCCAAATAAAAACTTAATTTAAATATCAGTATAATTGGAAACTAACATGCAAAGGGGAGCAAGGGCACCATATGTTAGAAATTCAGAAGGAATACTCTTTTATTTTTAAAAGATGGAAGACATAAAACCCAATGGCATAAATTGTATTGAGGTGACTTACATGTTTCTCAGTCTGATTCTTGGCATTCATATTCTGAACATTAGATGGCTGAGAGTGCACACGTGCACTTGGTCGTCCAGGATTGGCTGACAGTTTAGTTACAGTAATTTGAGCTGAATCATTGCGTCCTGAAAAGGGAATGTAAGGCATTGGTATCAGGAATGTGATATATATAGAAAGCATTACTACATTATAGTGCAATCTTGTGAAGTAAAATCAGTTCAACATTATTACAGCAAGCAAAAATGCTACATAAAAAAAGAAGAAAAAAAGAATCAATGAATTGGGAAATATCTATCCATATTGACCACTATCTTAGCATACCGGCAGCTATCATGTTTAGTTTTTAGACACAGCAAAGTTCCATGAAAAATAACCCACATAAAGTATAACTGGTGATTATTTCTTTTTATTTTAACTCTTTTTACAATAAGCATTGAAATTTTACTTTAAATTTAAACTCATTCTACAGGTATATACAAATCTCAGTAAAGCAAATCACATTAGTTAGTAGAATATTACTTTTCAAGGAGAATTTTCTCTATAATAAATTAAAGATTCCTTGAATTGAATCACACGATACAAGATTAAAGTTACCTTTATGCTTTTCCATAACTACTGGTTCTAGACTGCTAGGTACAGCGGCTGAGGGCTGCAAATTGTCACATACTCAAGTATGAGAATAAAATTAGGGAACTATCAGAAAATCTATGTATCTCGAGCATTCCAACAAAAGCAAGCTTGACCCATAAATCCATAATAAAAGAATGTTTAGAAGAGTTGATACCAATACCCAATGTTTTGATATGAATATCAGAAAAGAAATAGGTTGCAGACCGAGAGAGAGAGAGAGAGGAAGTTAGGCTTTGATGAAGATTTTCAAACACTCTATTGTGCTGGGACGGGGGGGGACGCATACTATAAAGCAATTTCAAATCACAATTGAAAAAAAAAATAGTCCCAGAAAGTACTAACAGATGATTGATTTAGTCTGGGTGTCTGTTGAATCTGCTGATGTTTTAGGATGGTCCAGTCAAATAAATAATCAGAATCAAATCCTGCTCATCAAATTCAGCCAAACATATTCTTGTTATATCAAGGGAGAAGATAAATATAACACAAGACCAGCAGATCATTGAAAAATGACTTTGAAACCCTAAGATTGGTAATGCATGATACAGCTAAAATTATTTATTCCCCAACATTGACAAACATTAAGAATTAAATGAAATAATTCATAAATTTCACACAACCTGAAATCTTGAATCTATGCTTTTCGGGGGAAAAAGGAAGAAGGAAAAAATCATCAAATACTTTATAAATGGCTTTGTACTCAAGTAGGTTCAATCTCCAACCTATAGCTTTGTACTCTAGGAAGAATAATTATGTGCCAACTCAGTGATACTTTTTGGCACAATTCTAGTATAACTAGAGGAAATAGGAAGAAAGTAAAATACTTGGTGATATTCATTTAAGGGTCCTGCTAACCAATACCAGACTCAGATGGTTAAAGAGCATTAAATATATCTCATTAAATACCACAATTTACTTAAAAGAAAACAAGTGTTAAATGACTTTTGTATTACTGATATATAAATGTTGTCTTTTTCTAATAAAAGAAAGCTTATACTTTGGTTTTGTTTATTTAACTAGTACACTAAGGACACTTGTTAACGTTTGCCTTCATCTAAATGTCATACTTTTATAGCTAACGCAAAACCACTAAGCAAATTGTCATCTTTGAGAAACAATCAGATACAAATGTACAATTCCATTCAGCAGAGAAATATTATTTCAAATCATGTATGTGGCAGAAAAAACGGCCAATACCTTCACGAGTAAACAAATCATGAAACATACGCTTCAAGAATCCATAATCTGGGTGTTGATCGAATGTCAAAGATTGGCAATAATGAAAGTAAGAAGCGAACTCCACAGGATATGACTGGCAAAGTATCTAATAAAAGGAAATCAGGAATCAGTAAATTATGAGAGACAAAAAAACCTTTTGACAAGAAATTCTGCCCAGAGAGATAAGTTTAAAGTTGATTAATGCAGTAATAGAAAACTTTAAAAAAACCCTTAATTTAATTGTTTAGTCAAGGATTCAAGTACTCAAACATAAGTTTAAGATCGCATGTGTTCCATCCTGGTTTTCATAATTCTAATTGCCTTTCTTCTTTCTTAACACAAAAAATAGTAATGAATACCCTAATCAAAATCAAAATCTATTCCAGTTGCAACTGTAGGCCACAGTACAAGGGTCAGAAGAAAATAAAATTGAAAATGATATTGAGAACAAGGGGATCAATCATTTTATGAAATTGAAAAATACACATACCTCAATGGGAGTAGATAATTTCTTCTGACAAATATTGTCATATTTTTCCTTTTTGTCAACAGCTTTTAGACCCTGCCAAGGCAGGCTAAAATGCAAGAAACAGATAGTCAAGCCCTATATTTACCAGAAAAACCTGTGCATTTGATACTCACATCACAGGCACTATTTTGTTTATTAAATCAGGATACCTGGAGAATTACAATGAACAGAAAGAACCATACCTTCCTCTTAAAAAGTACATAAGAACATAGCCAAGAGACTCCAAATCATCGCGACGGCTTTGTTCTAACAAAATAAAAAACAAATTTGTCGGCAATTTGTTGGTTATGAGCTGTAATTGTATAGAAGAAAAATTTCATTCTGCTCACCAATTCCCATGTGAGTATTGCAACTTGCATAACGTGCAGTCCCTGTTAAGTTTTTATTGTCTCTGGATAAGTTTGTAGAGGTTAAAACAAATATTAGGCAATGATACCTTGGCTAATTAAGCTAAAACCAGTAAAGCAGAAGTAACACTGACAATGAATCAGTCAGAAGAATTCAGAAAAAGAAATATTTCAGATTCCACAGATCATAGGTTGGAAGAGTTCCCATTGATAAACAATGAAGTATATTTCTTTAGAAAGAATATCTCCTTTATCAAAATACACTGCAAGGATGGTTAGGCAATGGTTCTACCAGTTACATAACCAGCCTTGGTGATATAAGATACTAACAAAAAAAAAAACTTGAACAAAGAACATTTTGTAGCATGGTATCCAATAATGAACGTCCACTTTAATTTATCTTCTGTTTGGTCTTATCTTCTTGTTTTTAGTATTTTCACATCATTACAAATCAAGCCTAAGATGACATTAAAACAATATTTCATTCAGTCCCACCTCTAGAACTTCCGTAAAGCATTAAAAATGAAGAAACAAGAAAAATTGTACCAACTTAGCATCTTATCATGAAAATAGGCTTCTTAAATATAATCTGCAGAAGAATTGTATAGTCTTTTCAAATATAAGCTTCTTCATATAAGAACTATATAATCTACATAAGAAAGATTTCCCATCTCACCATTTAACTATTATTGAAAATCAAAAGGAAAGCATCTTGGTAGATGGAAAAGTAATCAATTAGATTTCGGAGTTGTGACACTAAAACCTTATAATTTATAACACATATATGCTAGACCAGGGAAAACATGATTCATAACGTGAAGAGATTAAAAATACAAAATAAAACTAAACAGAACAAAATATACCTATAAGGAATATGCTTGTTTGTGTTAGGGTCCCTATATCTTTTCGCTAGTCCAAAATCAATCATATAAACCTGCAATTGTGAATGTAATAAATTGCACAAAACATATATAAGAAACTGTAAGCATAAAAGGAATTATCAGATAAAAAAATTATCCACCTATGTTAACCACTAAAGAAAATGAATTTTGATGATATTACCTGACTTGATTTCCTCCCGAGACCCATGAGGAAATTATCTGGTTTGATATCTCTATGCAGAAATCCCTTGGAATGCAAGTACTCAATTCTCGTAAGCTGTAGTCAAGTGAATGCAACAGACTTAATTTTCTATTATGTTCTATTATTGAAAACTCCCATGGAGGTGAGAATCAAACAGAAGAGATAAATTTTAAAAGCAAAACTGCTACACATCTAACTAGTAGGAAACATGGCAACATCCAAAAGCCAAATTAAAAATCAGTAGGAACAATTGTCGCTTCCTCGAAAACTTAAGCAAGCAATCCAGACATGAATAAGTGGTTACCATTTGATCGGCCAACATCAAAACTGTTTTCAGTGAAAACTTCCTCCCACAATAGACAAAAAGGTCTTCGAGACTCCGTCCCAGAAGATCAATAACTAGAACATTATTGTCTGCATCAGTACCGCACCACTTCATATTTGGAATACCACCTAAAATCCAAAGAATAAGAGTAATAAAAAACATTAACATTACCCTTCAACAAGTTCTGAGAGCATTTAAATTAATGACACGCTACTTTTATAACTTACTTGCTCCTTGAAACATACTGTATAACTTAGCCTCGTACAACAGTTGCGGATGTTTGGTCTTCTTGCTTTCCTACAACATAGGAATACAGCTGCTATGAAATCACAATAGCTCTTGAATAATTGAATGGGAAGGTACGCAAAACATTAGCAAAATAAGCGCAAACATTTAACGATTATATTTCTCTTCATAGAAATTTGATCAAAATTTTCATTACATATTAACAGCCGCGTTTATCCAACTACAAAATTTTATCCAAAGAGAAATTATCTTTTATTCTATTCTGTATAAAAATCCGCCCATATAGACGCACATAAGAATAACGATCGTTAACATACACAACAAGGCACGATCATGCAGAAGGACCACACATGAAAAACCAAAATGAGATTAAAATAAAATAAAAAATAAATAAAATCCAACGCAAACTTACCATCTTGACGGCCACAATTTCAGATGTGTCGATATTTGAAGCTGAAAAAAAAAATTAAAATAAGTCTCAGGGAGAAGAAAATACATATAGAACAACAACGAGTCAATAACCATGTTTATAATATACACCTACATGCTCGACTCAAGAAACGTTAAAAAGTTGCATACCAATATAAATTTCACCGAATGAACCGCTTCCGATTTTCCGACCAAGCTTAAACTTGCCCCCAACGATCCTGTCCATGTTTGGCGGTCCGAAAAGGGAGAATCGCGATTTAGCCTTAACCTTGGATTCGACGATGACGAGGGTGTTGTCGTGTGTGAGGAACTTAACAATAAGGAATAGATTTGGCGGAGACAGAATGCAGAAACTGAACGAGGAAGAATGAAGTAAGGTTAGTGTTGGAATTATAGGGTTTGGATTTTTTGTTTTTTAAAAGTCAGTTGCTGACCTGTCAAATACAAGCTCAACATTCCTGTTCTGTTACCTAGCCCAATCAATCCTAGTAATAGTTGCAACCATGTGCAAATTGAAAAACACGGTTTGCATAATGCCAAACGAAGACCATAAACAATTAACTAATTAACCCACCGCTATTTTGTTTCTCTCGTTAACGATAATATATTATTACTTTTATTTGGATTTAGATTTAGATATACATAATCTGAGTCAGCAAGATCTAACAATTCAATGCGTTCCTACTTGCTAATTCCTTTTATTATTTATTAATTAATGGGGAAAATACCACTTTTATGCTTTGCGTGTTTTTAGGATTCGTTGTTTTGTCGTATGGATTATACGACAGCTACGGAAATTTTGTAACAATTGCGAATTCAACTGGATAATGCTGTCAATCACCTTAGGCTCCATCTTCACACCTGATTCCAGACATGTCTTAAAAATACATTCAGGAAACAAATTTTAACAAAAAACAGTTATCCACTTTCTTTTGGTTCATCAAACAATTACCCATTTTTAATACAGTTAAAGAAAGTGTTTAAGAGGACATAATTTTGCTATTCGAAGAATAGGGTACGATTAATAGTTACGGATAACGTTCCAATAAAATATTTACTTTAAAAATTAAGTAGGTATAGTTATTAATTATCAGTAATTGAATTTAAAATAGTTAATTTTCTTATTAATCTTTTTTCTACTTTAATTTTTTAAAATAACTGCCGACAAAAAAAAAACTATTATTTGATAACTTCAGGTGTTAAAATAATATTTTTATTGTTAAAATAAATAAACCAACGCCATGGCTCTTTCCAAGTTGAAACCTACATTATCCCAAAATAAACAACATTATCATAATCACCAAACCAACCATTCAAAGGAATGAATTGATCAAATCTTTTCCAAAGTCTCACTAAATAAAACTCCATGTATATTTATAACAGCTTTCAGGCATTTAGGATTATAATTTAAACTTATTTCCTTAAAATTTTAACTTTCTTACCATTTAAATAGCATTTTTATAATCTTATGGACAAAACACAAGAAGCACCTGTAATATACTTTTTTTATTCTTGTTTATCTGATTAAATTTTATTTTTTTTCATCATAGAGTCAAAGAGAATATTAAATATTTTTTTTACTAATATAAACAACAAGTATACAATAAATCAAACATTGAGTCTGATTGAGTTGTATAAAGGTTAAAAAAAAAGGATAAATTTTAAAAAATTCAAATAAAATGATTACATTTGTTAATATGTATAATTTTTCTATAAACAAATAAATAAAAAATAAAGATTATATATTCCACATATTCTAAGAATAAATGTAATTCACATAAATTTATCAACTAATAAAAAACATTAAAGAATAAATTAGTAATATTTTATTAAAACATATTCAAACTAAATTAATGGTTCGCTAAAAATGCTTATTTCTACAGCATGTTCATAATTTTTTTTTAAAACTAATTTATCAAACACATAGTATAAATATTTTACTGGCATAAATATAACGATTTTGTTCGCACTATTTGTTACAATTTATTTTAAGTAAATAAAATAATATATTTTTATTAAAATTTAAGATATCTGTTATATTTGGTTATTTTAATCCAATTTAAATAATATTATTATTTTTAAATGTAATTCAAACATTAATGAATTAATAATTTTATTAAAAATATAAATTTATTATATTTTTATCATAATTTATTTTTACTTTCATTATTTATTTATTTCCTATTTCACACCTTTTCGGAAAGAAGTGTGAAAACAACGTTACCTCAACGAACCAGCGAAAAAGAGAGTTTTGTGAGTGGTCAAACAAAGTCGCTCTCTTGTTTTCTGATTAGATGAGTACTGCGGCAATATTAAAAAAATAAAATCCTAATTTTAATATTTAACGGACGAGAAACTTACTTTTTTTAGAAATAAGTTAATGTAATTTTCGGAAATTTATTGTAAATATCTTTAAAAATTATTTTTTAAAATTAATTTTGTAAATTTTAGAAACTAAAATAAATAAACAAATTAGATTTTAGAGAGTGGCATGACCTGGTCTCTAGAGAGTGGATAAGATAAAATGCTATAAAATTATAATAATTATTGTTGAGGTTGCCTCTGGCCAAGTTGAAATTTCTTGGGCATCAACTTCGCATCCTACTTCTATATCCTTATTATCATTATTTATTTATTTGTTTGTTTTTAAAACTAAGTTTGAGCATTAAAAATATTATTACACTTTTATATTTTAATGTAGTAAATATTTTAAAATTAATAAAATCTACAACATAAATATGTTTTTCGCTTTCTCGTAAAATATGTACTTTTGCTGCTAACAATTCTAAATGGATATTGAGGAGTTTTACTTTTTCCTCTGATTTAAAAAATGTGACCTCGTGTTCCTCGAGGCATAAACTGATATATACATAAAAACGTGGAACTCAATTATTAATGCAAAATTTTAGCATTTGTCGTGATCTCAATCAAAGTACTTTCTTCCCACCCTCTTTCACACACCCTATTCCTCTTCCATCTACAACTTTGAGTATTATAATGTGTTCATTTTTTTGTCAACATTATAATATGATAGTTATGTGGCTACTTTCTCCAATTTCTGAGTGCAACACCCCTTTGCAATTGGCAGCGAGCAAGATATTTGAAAAAAGAATGATGAGTTCTGGGCTAATGATGAACACAATTTTCTGCTGGATAATAGATTACGCCATAGAGGGTGTGATTGTGCTCCTGAGTTCAGCATCCATGAATTTATTAACGGTTGTTTTTTATGCTTTTATTGCTCATTCCGGTAGCTGTTTGGATCAGCTCATGCCCTGTGAACACAATCCCTTGCTACCCTGTTCTTCTTGTTCATGCCAAGTAAGTAGTAATTACCATCATTTTCTTCTTCAATTTCTTTACTTCAAATTATAGTATATGGTCTGTGTTTAAGGATAGAAATTTATGAAAACAATTACTTTTAGGGTGTTGTTCCTGTTTTAAGATGTTGTAAGGAAGAACTGAAAACGTAATTCGTGAGGGAGAAGACATAATTAGATTAGTAATTTGCCCTGTTCAATGGAATCTCTTTTCATGATTGCGGGAAAGAATGTGAATGAATCAAGTGGAGCATTGCGAACTTATTGTAAAGGATTTGTAATTTTTTCACATGCTCATCCTGATGCCCATATGTTTGATAAAATGTAAATAGAATGTTTTATTCTATCTAGGGAGTGAATGAGAGCTGTGAGGTTACAGTTCTGAGTACGCGCGCGAGTGAAATTTTAGTATAACGTCATATGAAACGTTATAATAGATATAATTTATTAGTACGTTTGCTCACATGAAACGTTGTAAATCTTAAACGATATAAATATTATTATTTATTACAACATTTCTAAAAGTGTTTTAATATACTTTATAACATTTATTTATATAAACATTTTAATATTATTTTATTATTTTATATAATATACACTATTCTATCTCAAATCAATTAATTAAAATATCAATTCAACCTAAACTAAAAAACTTTCAAATTTATCTTTTTTTTATAAAACACGGATTATTAGATAATTTTATTTAAATAAATGAGATCACTGTAAATACCGAAACTTGAATTCCAGATCACTGATTAAATTATCATAATTTTGTATTAATTGATTAGTGATTAATGATAAATTTCTCTTCTTCTAACACTAATATTACACATTATATTTTTAAAATTTTATTATTTTTACCAAATATTGTAATTTAAAAATTATATCATATTTCTATTTCATTATAAATTCCTCAAAAATGTAAAGAAAAAATATAAATATGAGAAATTTAAATTAAAAATACTAACTTTACATTTCTTAAAAAATTTAAAAACTAAAATTGCGCATAATCTACACTATTAAAATTGAAAATACAATTTACATTTTTTTTTCCTGTCAATACCAGAACATCGTTACTGTGTTTCCTGCATTGTCTCCGTTAGAGGATATCCTTAACTTAAAAAAAACAAAAAAACAAACCACATCACTGGTGTTCTTTGGAAGTGATCTTAAACCCCATCGTTTTTTTGTTCCTTTTTTATGATTACTTCGCTCAAAATTTTGAAAAGTAACTTCAAGTACAGTATGTACAGACTACAAATGGGTTAAGTCGGTTGTTATCATAGATTTATATTATTTTATAAATAATTTTTATAATATTGTATATAACATTTTTCTTATAATAATAATAATAGTTTTATTTTATTAGATAAAATCAATTACATTCATCATATAATATTATTCAACTCAATAAAAGTTAAATTTTTTAGAGATATTATTTATGATAGAATTTTTAACACTTATCCTTAAAACAATTTAACATTAAATTAGTTATTGTTTGTATAATTTTTAGATTAAATTTAATTAAACTATATATATATATATTAGAAATATTAATTTAACATTTGATACTATTTATTTGTTCACAAATTTTAATATCTATTACCTATTTTGTCTTATATTTATTACATTTCTCTTTCTATCTATGTCATGCTCATAATTTTTTTTCACAAAGTTATCCATAAAAATGATTTGTCATAAATATATGATTCGATTGTAGCCATATATCATATGATGCATTCCACACATTTAAATATTTTCTTTTAATATTCAGGCTAAGATTTTGCATGCCGCTTCCACTGTCCAACTTGTAAATGCTCAAGCATCGATAGATTAATAAAGGAAAGAACAAATTAGGAATGACGGGTGAATAATATCACCAGAGATATTATTATGATTTTGTTGGGTATAATTTTTTAAAATTATTTTACAAAAAAAGTTAACAATATTTACAAATAATAAAGTTATTAATTAAACATATTAATTATATTAGACTATAAAATGTTTATTTAATTTTTATACGCTCAAAATTCAATTCTAAAAATTAATATTAAAAAAGTTGTTTTGTTACAAGCAAACATAGATATGGTTGATTAATTTCTAAATAAAACATATACATTTATTTCAAACTTCAAAGATAAACTAGTATACTACACAAGTAAGAACAATAAAAAAGGTAATTCTGACAGTGCAATTGTTTTGCGTCAGTGTCAGAACTCAGAAGGGCCCAAACCTCAATTGCCTAATAGTCCATGTTGGGTTGAGTGTCCCAATCCCATTTGGACTCGACCCAAAATTGAACCCTTCATGCACTCGTAATGAATGAGATTACAGTCAAGGATCACGTTTTTGGGTGAAGGGTCTTACAACCTTATATTAGTTAAACCCATGTTATCTTGTATCACGTCCACATGCTTCTATATGTTGGCCATGTCTCACTTGCATTCAAGCATTAAATATACCTTATATTCCCTTTGCTACTTTATGTTCACATCTATCAACATCTAATTATAGTAAAATGAAGTTATTCGAACTCAGCAATCGTAACATAAGGAGAAATGATCACATCATAATCATAGAAGTCCTAAAAGAGCATTAGAACTTGTTAGACTAAATAGAGACAAGTTATTCATTCATCCAGAAGCTTTATAATAACAAAGAGAATAGTATCTATTACGCTATAGAAAATCATTTCGTTTAGAAAAGTTCTGTATGAATGATTGCTTCTTCTTCTTTTAATTAATTATCCTATACTTTTTGGTAGGTACATTTATTATCCTATATTAATATAAAAATACCTGAAACTAACTGTGAATTGTTTTCGGTACGAAGCAAGGAATAAAATCACCAGGATAAAAAAAACAACGTTTCAAAATATCGGGAGAGCATAGCAGAAGTGTATTCCTTAAGCATGCTTACAAACGGTGGAAAGGATGTTTCTTGCACCATTAGGTTACCTTTGTGTCAGACAAATGACTAGCGTAGATCCACAGTCCATGTATTAGATATTTAGATTTTATTTAGTTTTATTTATTAAATAAATTAAATTAAAAGTCGAAGAACTTTTATAAAAATGTAATTTTTTAAATATTTTCAATTAAAATTAGACTTCTATTTTCATAACATGTTCATGTTGGAGTATGATGAAGATTAATGTTGATGGACAGTAACTTTTAGCGATGTAAAACTTGAACCTAAAGCGGCGTATTTTAACCTTGCAGAAGATATTTACACGTTACACGTGTATGATTCTTCCGGAAACACCTAAACCGGTGGAGGCATTTATGTTTTTGACAGCGTGTCGGGTTTAGGATATGGTACTCGCTGTGGTGCATTCTTCAGTTCACCACAACACAACATCGTACTATAGTGTATCTGCCAATGGAAAGCCTCCCAGAACTGGAGAGTGTGATGGAAGAACCACTTCTGAGCAAGAACAGGACTAATGCCAAGGGTGGCTTCAGAACCTTACCTTTCATTATAGGTAATGAGGTGATAATGATTAATGAATTTGTAGTGTTCTCCATTTGTTAAAAAAACTTATGAATTTAATGTTAATGTGGCAGCTATTCAGGCATTTGATAGACTGGCTAGTCTTGCATTGATGCCTAACATGATATTGTACTTGACTAGAGAGTTTGGAATGGAAACTGCAGGAGCCACTAATTTTCTCTTACTCTGGTCTGCTGCCACCAATTTCACTCCCTTCATTGCTGCTCTCCTTGCAGATTCCTATGTGGGTCGTTATCCAGTTATTGCTTTTGGATCCATTGCTAGCCTACTGGTACTTTTTTCTCTTTTCTTTCACTTTTCAGCTTAGAAGCTCTTTTGTTGTTTTTTGGCAATTTAAACTCAACATTTTTTGCCTATAGATAGTTTAATTTGTTATTACTCTACTAACTTGGACATTTTTTTTTTTATTATCTACTATTCTTCTTCAAATTTAATTTTTTTTATTTTTAGGACTAAGCTTTGATACTGTATTAAAATTTGAGTATGCGTCTGATGTAAGAGTGTGGACTTTAGTTCAAGTGACATGCTTGTCTAAAATTTTTTGACAATTTAGACTCATAGCCTCTTGCCTATATACTTTAATTTTGTTACTAATTCACTGATGTGAGACTTTTCTATTATCTAACACCAGTATCATTCATTGTGCTAGTGAGTGTCTTTATTAAAATTGATTTTTGACACTTGTTTGTGTTGGGTTTGTGCAGGGAATGGTTCTTCTGTGGTTAACAACTATGATTCCATTGTCAAAGCCAGTTTGTGACCAATTTGCCAAGGGCTGCAATAACTCCCCTACAACAATTCAACTTTTGATCTTGCATTCTTCTTTTGCCCTCATGTCCATTGGAGGTGGAGGCATAAGATCATCCTCCTTGGCCTTTGGTGTTGATCAGTTGAGTATGAGGTACGAAGATGCGGGAATCCAAGAGAGTTACTTCAGCTGGAGCTATGCATCTGTCACAGTAGCATCAATGCTTGGTTTAACTGTTTTTGTCTATATTCAAGAAAACATGGGGTGGACAGTGGGGTTTGGAATACCTGTTATCCTAATGTTTATAGCCACTCTAGCATTTTTCTTAGCTTCGCCATTTTATGTAATGCTGAAAGTTGAAAGAAACATGCTAAGTGGGTTAGTTCAAGTCCTTGTAGCCTCTTACAGAAATAGACTTATGGAGTTACCCCTGGAGGACGAGAATGGTATTGGTATCTACCACCATGAGAAGGATTCTGATCTCCTAAAGCCAACTGAAAAATTAAGGTATGATTTGTTTCTTTTGTCCTGTTTATCATGCTTTGGTTATCATCAGATTATCATGAGATGTTCACTGTTGTTGTTGTTACCATAGTAACTAATTGCATCAAAATCAGATTGTTTTTAATGGTTAAGTGCTGAAATACCCCTTTTTGACAAGAAGTACAGTTGATAATTAACTTGTAAGGTTGAAAGTCCACTAATTTTTAGAATTTCTATAAGTTGTAATTTTTTTTTTTCAAAACTCTGAACAGAGTGTTTACAATATTGTTCCAATGGATCATGTGCCACGTAAAAACAATTAGTTGTTAGTTAATTGTAAAGATGTGCATCAAACGGAAACCTTAGCATATATATGCCATGTTCAGCTACTTCTCTTAAACTTAATATCTTGTAAATTTTTTTATTGAGAGGAAAGGCTTTAAGTGAGCAGTAATTTAAATGACTAGGTTTCTCAACAAAGCATGCATGATTAGAAATCCATTACAAGATCTAGCACCAGACGGAAAGGCTTTGAATCCATGGAATCTTTGCACAGTAGACCAAGTGGAAGAACTCAAGGCAATTGTCAAAATAGTCCCAATTTGGACAACAGGAATCATGATGGCAGTGAACCTCAGTCAAGGTACTTTTATGGTACTAGAGGCAGCCTCCATGGACCGCCACATTACTTCAAACTTCCAAGTTCCTTCGGGCTCCTTTGTGACATTTATGATTGTATCTTTGATACTATGGATTATAATCTATGACCGCATTTTAGTTCCTTTGGCATCAAAGATAAAAGGGCGCCGCGTATGCTTGGGAGCTAAACAAAAAATAGGAGTTGGTATTTTTACTAGTTGCATAGCAATTGCATCACTGGCAATTGTAGAGAGTATTAGACGCAAAATTGCAATTGAGCAAGGCTATCCAGAGCAACCACAAGCTGTGGTGAACATGTCTGCTATGTGGCTCTTGCCACGCCAAATCCTTGATGGATTGGCTGAGGGTTCATGTTTAATTGGACAAAATGAATTTTTTCTTACTGAGCTACCTCCATCTATGTCTAGCCTAGCATCCACTCTTAGTAGCCTTGGGTTCTCTGTTGCAAATTTGGTAGCAAGTTTCATTCTGAGCATTGTTGACACTGTTACTGGAGGCGGAGGAAATGTAAGTTGGATTTCAAGCAACATTAACAAGGGTCATTATGACTACTATTATGCTTTTATTGGAGCTTTGAGCTTTGTAAACTTTTTATATTTTCTTTACTGTAGTAAATCTTATGGTCCTTGTAAAGGTAGAGGAAATAAAAATTTAGAAGAGTGCAGAAAATGATTATACCTGGTTGGGATTGGTAGCGGACTTGTACTATTGATGCTAGGAAATGAACATTTGTTTCATGTGTTGGTGGTATTGTAAATGAACATTCATCACTTGCTTCTAGTAATTTTTTCAATTTTAATGATGAATTAGCGTTTCTGTTAAGTGGGCTGCTGTATATCTAACACATCTTTGGAATTTATATTATATTCAAGGAATTTTTGGGTTCTTTCAAGGCTTACAGAGATGATTGTACATAAGTTCTTATGCTGGCAGTGAAATTTAAATCTGCATCCTTATGAGATATGAATCCAATCTTTACCAACTGAACCAATATTTTCTGTCATATTGAATGAAATTTACAACGTACCTAAAAAATTAGGTGGATACATATTTTAACATTTTTATCATGCATCAAACGAAGCAGAGAGAGAACTAAGATTAAATTGCAGGTTTGATAGTAAAGGGGATCCTTGTCTGTGAATCTTCGTTGGGAAATTAGGGGCCAAGAGATGAAGTATTACCCTCACTGCAAAGGTTTGAGATAAATTAAAATTGTCTAATGATAAATACTTTTTATGGTTTCGCAAAATAGTTTATACATTAGGAACTGGAAGCTAAAAAGCTAATTTTGGCTTATATTTTTAGGTATATGTAATTTTAAATTTTTTAATTAATGTTAAACTTATTATTATTGTGACAAAACAATAAAATATTTCAGTAAAAAATTAAAATAAATAATGTAATAATAATTAAAATAAATGGTGTAACATTAAGTAAGGTTATAAACAAGAAATTTCATTATTGAGTGTAAAAAATGAAAACAATAATAAGTTATAAATTCAAATACTATTTCAAGTAGCATTTTAAAAAACTTATAAGTTTGTAGAGTAAATTTTTTTCATCATCACTAAACACGGGAATCAACTAGTAATAAGTTGTTCTAATTTAACTTGTTATCTTAAATTTATTTATCAATTGCTCGTTTGAGTTAAATAAATAAATTAATAGATAATTCAAATAATTTATAATATATGAAAATTTTAGCTCATTATAGAATATTAAAACAAAAAATGTAATTAAAAATTTTAAATTAGTCATATATTGTGATAAAATTAATATTTTTTATAAATAATAATATACTTTTTGCTTTTTTTTTTATAAAAACAAAGATTAAATTATTAAGATCAAGAAAAATAATAAAATTAATTATATTTTTATAATTATAAATTTTATTTCAAAAATATACATGATATTAAATGATATAGTTAATAGTTTGAATATTTAATGATACTAATAAAAAAATATTAAAATAATTTAATAATTAATATTTCTCAAATTTATAAGAAATTTATAGAAATAAAATATTTTAAATATAAAATTATGTATATGTCTTAAAAAAAATTTATATAAATGTCTTGATTTAAAATGCATAGAATTTGATTATAATCGACTTGACATAGGACTTGAATTTGATTATAATCATTTTCTGTAATACAATATGAAAGTCGATTATAATTGACTTTTATTTTAAAGGAAAGTCGATTATGAAAGTCGATTGTAATCGACTTTTGTTTTAAAGGAAAGTCGATTATAATCGACTTCTGTATCGTCATATAATTTATTTAGAATTTTTATCCAAATTAAAGAAAATTGATAATGTTAATTAAAAATTAATAATTTTAATTGATAATTTTAATTAATTTTGTTAATATTTTCGTATAATAATTTTATAAATTATTAAATAATATCAATGTAAAAAAAATATTTTAAAGGATAAATTCTAAAATGCATCAAAATTTAAATTTCAGAGTACATGAAATTAAATTTTCAAAGTACAGAAAATTAAAATTTTAAAATAGAGAAAATTAAATTTCAAAGTACATAGTGTATAAAATATTTAGATCACCATGAGCATATGTGACTATGGGCCACGCCTATTGAGTCTGGGTCCAGTAAGGTGACTCTCTATTGCACAATGACGATATACAATTTGTCGTACAAGTTTGCGGTGTGCATGTTCCTCCTCATGTTGTTGGACAGGTGTGTGATGCTCCTCCTCCTTCTCTCGGTGAACTATTAAAGGAGGGAGTTCGAATATGTGTTGGTGATGGTTGATATAGATTATCTAGTGGTGGCACATATCTACTTGTACTAGTCGGATTCAGCCAAGTTATAACCTCAGCATCTGACATGAAAGGTGAATTGAAAGATATATGTTGTGCAATATCATCTTGAGCTAGACCCGTGACAAAATGTTGCATAGGATTGGGAGTAACCTTAGAATGTGACATGAACTGATGACTAGGGTCTGCCATAAAATACTGATAGGGGTCATACATGGTTGGCTAGGGCCTGACATGAACTGGTGCTGAGAAGGACCAGCCATGTATTGTTGTTGGCTTGGTCCTGACATGAAGTGGTGGCTGGGGTATGTGGGTATCGGGTGGTATACATAGTGTGAGGTATGTTGTATAATTAGATTTGCATCAGGTTCTACATCGTGTAATGGGAGGTCGGCTGGTATATGTACCTTATCACGGTATTGACGTCTACTAGCACGTGTACCTGCACGCAAACGATGCATTAAAGAGTGTCTATCTAGAACGTCATCAGGGTGTGTGAGGGGGCATGTAGTGGTACACCATTAGGTAAGTCCTTAAGCTCTTTATCTTGTGGTCCTCCATCCAACGACAAAAATCTATTAACAACTGACAAGTACTACTGAAAGTACTCGACAGAGGAACGATCATCATCAGCTAGAGGAAATGGAACTCGTCAGTCCCTACGTGCTTCCCGTACAGCATGCCATGTCACATGATAATCAGGCTACCATATATCTAGATCACCTCTCTCATCCTTAGCGTGCAACCGATCAATATTTATTTGGTTGATTGGTATGTATTGTGCTCCACCAAATTGTTGAACTACGCGATCAACAAGATGTCACTCAATCACAATAAACTGTATAAGAGCAGTCACAAATGCCCAAACATCGGCCTCATCATACACGAAACGAGATGTAATGTTCCTGATCTCATTGTTGTTGTAGGACGTCCGCCTAAATTGAAATAATAAATAACAAATATTAGACCAAAAAATAAAAGTATTTAAAAGAAAATAATTTAGTAACATAAACTCTATTTGAACTTACCCAAGTAATGCCAATTGAATTGATGATCCTCCTATATCGCATTAACTTATCTGTATCTGATCTCGTCGATGACCTATAACTTTTCTACCTGAAATAGGCATAATTAGTTTTTACTTGCAACGTGAACATATATAAATAACCAAATATATATATATATATATATATATATATATATATATATATATATATATAATTTGTACCTCAATGCTAGTGGAGAAGTGAGAGGATGATGATTCCTAGGGGCTAACTAAGGTATTCTATACCATGTCCAAGACTGTAGAAGAGGCAAACAACTTGCAATCTCGGTGACATTGTATTTCAGCGCATGACAAAGCTCACGATAAAGGGATGCTAGAACAACAAAATCTCAACTATAGTTTGAAATCTCGGTAAAATTAGTTAAAAGAAATAGTCACTTCATATAAACCCTAAATCCTGATTTATTTGGAAACAATACTCCACCAAATATCATCATTATGTATGCTCTAGTGTAACGGATAATAGTCTGTCCATCAGCATTGTGAGATAATACTCCAAATGTATATATGAACCACTATAAATTTACGAAAAATCTTTTTACGTTACTCTTATCAGGAACTGCTCCAAGTAAATCTTTACACAATGCCCATATATTTCAATCATAAATTTCTCCCATGCTCCAATGCAACCACTCACAGGGACCCCATCTATACGTAATCCTAGCTGAAACACAACATCCTCCAAAGTAATCGTACATTCTCCGTATGAAAAATGAAATGTGTCTGACTCGGGTCTCCAGCATTCTACAAGTACACTTATGAGTATCTTATCATAATCAAATACTGGGACCATCTGTGCAACATGTCAAAAACCAGTCTTCCTAAAATTATTATAAATTATAAATTACTATAATACAAAACTAATTTATCATAACAATTAAAAATATATAATAGAATTTTAATTTACATTCCTTAGTATAATAATTATAATTATAACAAACAATTTAATCTAATTTACAATATAATAATTAACATTTACCATCTTTCTAAATAATAATTACACAATTAATAATACATTAAATTAATTATAAAAATAATTAATTATAATTTAACTAAATATCTTTAAAAATTAATTTACTTGTGTGTTAAGCTTACTTGTAATATGATCAACAAAATTGAACTGATATAGATCATTATCCATTTTTTATCACTGTATATGCTTTTTTTTTTATCTCACTTTCTTTAGTCTCCACTCTTTATGGTGGCTATTTTTTCCGATCTCCCTTTCTCTATGGTGGTTGTTGTCTATGGTGAGAAGAGGAATGATATATATGAAGTAGTTGATTATACTCATCTCCAGAATCACACTGAAGTCGATTTTAATAAACTTTTCTTTAACATGCAAGTCAACTTAAATCGACTTCTTTGGAAGCTGAAAGTTGATTGTAATCGTCTTTCTTGCAGAAATAAAGTTGACTTTAATCGACTTCTGTTGCAGCATCAATAACAAATGAGAGTCTGCTACAATCGACGTCTACAGGATAGATAAGTCGTTTTTAATCGATTTTAATATTTCAGATTTAGGACATTTGTGTAAAAAGAAATTTTTTGAGGACACATGCGTAATTTTGTTTTTGAAATATTTTATTCATGTAAAAAAATCCAAATTTATTATATATTTTTTTATAATTAAAATAAAAAAATTATTTTATTTCTGATAAAAAAAAAAGAGTGAATGATGTACTATTTAATAATTGAAAAGAAATTAATATTAATTTACAAATAAATAGTTAAACATGTACTAATATGCTTTATTTTAATAGTTGAAGATGAAAATGAAAATGGTAGGATAGGATAGACGCGTCATGTTACTCGAAATAGAACGACTAGACCTTGACAAAACAAAAGACGAGCATTGGACCATTGGCGAAATCAGACACCGTTGAGTGTCCGTTTTGTTGGGACCGCATGCCCAATTATTCAACGCTTGCTTTTACGCTTTCCCAGATTTACATTTCTCTCTCCATTTTTGGAGAGCGTGTTCGGTAGCTGTGAGATGGAGCCATTTTACTGTTACCAATAAGAAAATTCTTTTCCATATATATATAAATTAAAAGAATACACGTAAAACAATTATCATTTAATTTTATATTCAGAAACAGTGAGATTAATGATTTAATTAAAGAATTAATACTTTTTAATATCTAAAATATTAAAAAAATTATAATTATTAATCTAAAAAGGACATACCATGTTCTATCAAACTTATAGATATTGTAGCAAGTACTTTAAATTATATAGATTAAATGAATTGTTAGAAACAATTAATATATTATTTTTAAAATATTAATCATAATATTTGTAATTAAATTTTAAAAATTATATTAATAGTTTTTAAATTGAGTTTAAGTAATCAATAACAATAAAATATTATTAAATGTATTTTTGTATCTTTACATTTTTAATAAAACTATATCATCATTAATAAAGTTAGTTATTTTTTATATTAATAGTTAGGAAATTAGAAAGATTCACTAATAAATGATAAATATTAAAAAATTTATAGACATATAATAAAAATTAATTTACAGTGAAATTTTATTTAAAATTGTATAATTTAATATTAGTGTATGATTTTTATTGATTGGATCTTGTAATGTTTGTAAAATTTTATTTTTTATAAGTTCATATTATAAAAGATTAAATAATAACAATTTTTATATGAATGCATGGATAGACCCTGGAAGTTTATAAATGGGTGTTTATTCAATTTTAAAATATTTGTAGTTAAATAAAGATATATAACAATCGGTTTAAATCAATTTTCATTGATTTATTAGGCATTGCATCGGTTGGGTTAAATAGATTGAAAATTCTAAAATGCATTTTTAATTTTAAAAAAAAAAAGTATATCATCGAGCATATGAATTAATTAATGTAAATTTTTTTATTTAACTTCTAATTTCAAATTTAAATTTTATAAAATATAATTATATTTAATATTAAACAAATTACTATTCATAATAATTTTTAAAAAATATTATCTTTTATAAACAATGTTTATATCTATACTAAAAATAAATAAAAATGTGCACTTGTGTAATTACAAATAAATTCAATGTAATTAAAGCCCCCAATTATATTCATTACCCCGGTTACTTTTTTTTAATCGAATGAAAGAGTTTAAAAAGGTGAAATTAACTGCATTAAACGCTCACTTGCTTTCTTGTTGGAAAGTATAGAATTGATTTTGTTATTGATGAATATAATGACTAACATCTATGAAATTTATAAATATAATATAATTTAAATTTTATAATTAATAAAATAATTTTTTTAACTTTAACTTTTTAATAGTGAGTTTAAATATCTATAGATAAAATATTTTTATAAAAAATAAATATTTATTATATTAAAAATATAAACATATAACAAATACTCATTATCTTAATAAAAATTATTATTATTAGTTATTTATTTTTCACTTTTTAAAATTTATTTTTGTAGCTACTTGTGTGCTTACTGTGTTTCCACTATTGTCTCACAAAAAGAAAGTTTTATGCTATGTCCCACGATCAACGGTGTCGAAATTTTTAAAAAGATAAAATAAATTTTAATTTACCAATAAACTATTTAGATCATGATAAAATTTAATAATAATTATAAATACATTTTATCATCTAAAGTTTATTCTCTCACTTTCATGATGTGTGTGTATATATATAATATGCCCAAAGTCTAACCAATAATTCAGATAGTCCAAAGGGTAGTTATCCTAATAGATGTTCATGTATCATGCACAATTGTTGTATAAATTTTTGCATAAAAAATTACGTAACACATTACGTGAATTTAAAATATTATCATCAAATATGAAATCAATTTTTGACTATTAATAAGGTGTTTTAAAATAATACAAATGGGGACATTTTTTATCATATACATTTGTTTTCACTATTTATCCTTTTTATCGAAAATGATAAAGCGTTTTGCTTACAACGGATGTTTACCTGATTAAAAGTTAATTTTAAAACAGATAAATTTAAAATTCTAGTTTAAATAATTTGTTTATACGTATTGATAAAAAAAATTAAATAATAAAATAAATTAAACTCCTTAAAGTTACAATCAACATATTTATTTTTATCTAGATTTATTATCAAAATATAAAATATAATTTATTTTTAATTTATAAAATAAATTTTATTTAATATCATATTGTAGTCTAGATTGAGAAAATTTTTAGACAAATTTTAATAATAAAAAATATTTGTATGAGTCAAAAATAACTTATTTTCTTAAATTTTAAATAAATTTAATGAGAAAATATTGTAGAAATTTTTAAAAAATAAAAATAAAAATTATTTTTATATTAAAATTATATTTGAGTGAGATTGTGAATAATTTTTTTAAAAAATAATGTAAAGAAAAAGTTAAACGAGAGAATCTTTTAGAATTTCTTAAAAAATAAAAAAAAACATAAATTATCTGTAACTTATAAAAAAATTATATTAAAATTATATTTGAGTAAACTTGTGAATAAGTATTTATAAAATAAAAAATATATAAATTTTTTTCTCATAAATTAAAACAAATGATCTTTTTATGTTTTAAAAAAATTAAATAAAAAGTAACTTCTTAAAAATACAAAAATATAATTTTTTTTCATATTATTAAGTAATTTTTATTCTAGTACGCATTGAAGTTTATCTAATTTAGAGCTATTTTTTTTCTCGTAAAAAAATTACTTTACAAATTTATTCAAACTAAAAGTTATTTATATTTTTGTATAAGAATTTATCCAAAAACTCATTTAAATGAATTCAAAATTTTGTTCAAAGTGATGATAAAACTTAAGTGCATTATTAGGAGAACTTTTAGTCTTAATACTTGATACAATAAAAGTGATTCCAAATTATGAAAGTAAAATTTGAATTTTAATTAAAGATTTTCATCCTAAGCTAGTTGACTCCAAAACAATGGTGAAGGAAAAATGATTTAGATTAATTAGGCGTTTAGATGAAGCACGGATTCTTTTTATTGGGAAAGTGTGAACAAGAGGAGAGCAGCAGCGTGCATGGAATTACAGAGACCACCACTTGGAGTGGAGTGATAAGAGTTTGACGAATTCAATGACTACAGTGACAGAGTTAGTGGCAGCGAGTGAGAGGAAGGTATCAGCCTCGTTGGACTCAGCAGAGCCACCACCGGCTAAGTCTGAGAGAGCCCTAATAGCGATGAATGGTATCCTCTGTTGTAAGCATATAAGTGCCACCGATGCACTCTCCATGTCCACTGGGCTCACATCGAATTTCTTGTGTATGAAACTCCTATATGCTGCATTGTCTAAGTAGATGCCTTGGCTTATTCCTCTGTTCACAAGCGCCACTTCTGGTTTCGTTGCCAAGCATGTCGTCGAGTTTATGCACCCTTCTAGCACCAAATCCTGACCATACATCACATTTTGTCGTTACCATAATATTTATATTGGATTAGTTCACCTAACCACTTTCATTTTTCTGCCACCCTGCAACCCTAGCTACTAAAATATCTTTTCTCCAATGCGAATGTCGTTTTCAGAGTAAATTAAAAAATATATCCATATATATAATACAAGTTGTAAAATAGGGTTACAAAATTGACCTTCAATTTGCTTGCAATAGAGTAGTACTTGGAATCAACAGGAACCCAAAAGGCATGTTGTCTTTCTTCGGGAGTGCCATCAATGGGGAAAATCTCCTCTGGTTGGTACCAGATGTTGTTGAGTTGATTGTCTACTGGACTGTCTGAACTCACGTTTGAGGTGAATTCTGCGAAATTTAAGAACCCTAATTCCCTCGTGTAGTCTCCATTATCTTCTAAAGGTAATACATCGTGAGGCCCTTGCCCATGCCTCTGCACAAGGTTAATGTGCCATCAGATATTCATATCCATCAAATAACTTCTTGGGAAAAAAACTAATCAATCGGTACTGATTTAAATATAATATTAAAACCCAAATAAATTCATATACATATACATATATATATATATTAAGAAAAAAAAATATTTCTTATATGTAAAGATAATAAAAAATTATATAATATATTATAATTTTATTTTCATTTATTTTATTCGATTTTAATAATAAAAAAGCAACAATGAATTGTAATATAAAATACTGTTTATTAAAAAATTAGATTTAATGAATTTTTAAATTTGTAGATCAAATTAACGATTTAAAAATAATTTAATTTGATTTTGAATTTTTTTTCTAGGAACCCCCCTACTTTATTTGAAGTTGAAAATGGTCACATCTAATTATATCGGTAAGAAAAGGAAGCTTTGTTTAGGCTTTACTTGATCTCCATAGATGTAGGCTTCTTAACCCAATATCTTACTCATAAATAAGTTTATATTATCATTTTAAATATTTTCAAATAAAATAAAAAATTATAAACTCAATCCTACATGATATACTAGTTCAAAATTACACTAGAAAAATATTACTACATACAAATAAGTTAAAAACCATCTTATTTACCTAGTAAAGTGTATTGATAAAAGAGGAAGAAAAAAAATAATGAGAATTCCTCTAATACCTGCCAACTCCAAAGAGCTAAATGAGCCCAAGATTCGGGAATGGCTACATCTCCAATATGCAAAGAGGGGTTAGCATTTCCAGCAATGCCGTAATGCACCACTCCATCTACGTTGAAAAAACTCAACAAAAGCTGAGTAGTGATAGCTGCATTTATCTGCATTAGGACGAAAAAAAAATCCAATTAATATACCAATAACATAATATCAGCAGAAAAATAAAAAGAAGCAAACAAAACAGGAAATTAAAAGTGAAATCATACCACGCTCAGTCCTGTCATAACCAGTATAACTGGCTTGTCGCCAATGGATCCAAAACGAAATCTTCTTCCTTCATTATTAACAATAAAAAAAATAGGAATTAATCATAAATAAAAGGATAGCTGTTTCATACAATATTTCATATACTAGATACCCAGGAAAAATTGTATATAATAACGGTGATCTAGAAATACATTTATTATTTACCATCGATGTCTATGATGGTGCCAGTAGCAGTGTAGCCTGGATTCTTAAGAAGAGGGTCAAGTTCAAAAGCATTTGGTATGATTAAACCAAGATAAGGTCCCTTTTGCTTTACTTTAGCGATTTTGCTATGCAACTCTGATGTCAAAGCACAGCTTACAAATGCATGTTGAGCATTTACCCACAGAAATGCCGCCAGAAACACGTATAACACTCTCTTAGCAGTTGCCATCTCAATATGGAGTGCAAGAACAACACCACTTGTGAAATGAAACACTTGAAGATGGTTGCTTTTTATAGAAAAATATGTGCTCCAAGCATCATTATTTTGGTCTTCATTTTCCCATTCTTTCTTTCGGGATAAAGATCACTGTACACCTTATTTGGTAATGATGTAATATTGAAAATAGAAAATTAGACTTTTTTTTTTTTAATATTTTCTTCTTTCTTTCATTATCTTTTTATTTTCAAAAATAATAAAAAGGAGAAGAAAAAATAATTTTTTTTGAAAGGTCAATTTATCTTTTTTTATTTTTTTAATTAAATAAAAAGTATATCGTATTATTATTATTATTATTATTATTATTATTATTATTTATTAAACTATTTTACCTCGTTCAAATAGATCTGGACTCTCTTGCCTTTCTTTCTTTCTTTTAGACCTTTCCGTTTGGTAGGGCAGTTAAGGACCTGAATGCTAGTAGACCTAGATCATAAATCAAACAAGGAATCAAACACTTTTATTAAATATTGTAAAGTTGATTATCTCAGTTTCTTTTATTAGGATTTAATTAAAATGTACTTATAATGTCAAAATATAACATCATTTTTTAATTATAAATTGTTAGATAAATAAAAATGATTTAAAATTTATATTTATTATATATTTTAATTAATTGATAATAGAAATTTTTTAATACTAACAATATATTAAAGTTAAACTCTTAATATTAATGCAACACTAGATATATAATTTTTTTTAAAAATAATTTAAACTAATAAATATCATTGATTCATTATAATAATTAATGTTGTTATATTAAAAAAATTATCCCAGCACAAAACATATTGATTAATTAGTCAATAGTTGTTTCAGTTTAACTTGTAATATTAAATTTGAATTTTATTAATTATAATTATGTTAAAAAATTTGAAAAAAGATTTTATTATTCATAACAGTTCTTCTTAACTCAAACAATATTATTTCTAGTTAGTAATATTTGTGATTCAGAAGAAAAAAAATATCTTTAAATAGTAAGTTTTAAAGACAATATTTTTAATTAATTTTGTCATAAAATTATTTTTTGATTGATTTTGATGTGCATCACAAAAATATTGTTAAAAATATCTTAAATTAGTTATGAATATCACTAGCATGTTTTTTAATTCTTTATAAAGCTTAAAAAATCTTTCTAATTTCATCTGTCATCATTTAAGAGTATGTTAGACTGTTAGTCTCATTTTATGTTTAAGATGATACCAGAAGTTATTTAATTTTAACATTATCTCATACGAATGTTCAATGAAGAACTTCTTAAGAATGAAAATAAACTAATATGCAGTTTATAATGTTTGAACAATTATTTTTTTAACTAATTTTAAGAAGTGAAGTTAAACTCGATTACTTTTTAGTAAATATTAAAACTGAAAGAACATGAAAAAATGTTTTATTTTCTATTTTTAAATTAATCATTTTCTAACATTAAGTAATCTTAATCTTTGACGTTTTTGTTTTATTTTAGTATTTTTTAATAACTAAACTTGGAACAGACCAATCGGATAAAAAATATTATTGTCAAATAAAATTATATTTGATAATTACTTTTTCATATGTAATCTTAAAATGTAAATCAGAAATAGAAAGTGGAAGCTACCCTAATACGTTTGGTACGGGACAAAATGCTAAGCACCCTCTGGATAATTTGTTTAGTGAGAGTGAGAAACACGCGTAAAGTAAATAAATAGCTTTTCAATAAACTATTTAACACGTTTTGAAATTATAATATTTAATACTTCTTATTTTAAGATGTCAAATCCTAATCAAAACGACTTGGGATTTCCAAGTTTGATAACTTAAAACAAACAAATAATTATCTAGCTTCTCATTTTTTATAAAAATAAAATAAACTTTGAATTTCTTTAATGTTTAATTATGAATATATATTAAAAAGTATTGTATACATTTTATTTAATATTTAAATTTATTTTAAAAATACATTAAAAAATTATAATTTTAAAATAATATTTTTTATTTTTATAAAGAAATATATTAAACAATTTAGCACGTGTCATAAAATATATTTTATTTTTTTTATAAAACTATTACTTTTCCGTCGGTAATTGACATGTGACTCAGCATATCTGTACAACAGTTTAATCCATGATACACTAATAAATTTACATCTTTCGTACTGTTAATTAATATAATACGAATATATAAACACATTGTGATTATATTTAGTTTATTAACGTTGCTCACTCTTCTTGTCTTTATGAAATATTTTAATTAAATTATAGTATTTTTATTTATATGTTTACATAAAAACTAAAGATAATATCAATTGTATTTTTAATAATATTATTTATTTATATAAAATATTTACAGTATTTTAATAGTTCAAGAATAAATGAAAAATGTTAATAAAGACTAAATTAGTGAATTTATCTATTTTTTTACAAAATAATCGATTTAATTAATCTTTGCAATTCATTCTCTCCATTAATAAATAAAAATAAAAGTAGTACAACTTAATAAAAATAAACATTTTATTTATTTTTAAAAAAAATTATAGTATATTAATTTTACTTTTATTTGATATTATTAACAATAATTATATTATTAATATTTATTTTTAAGAATCTTATTTTTTTAAAAAAATTATTTATTAAAGATGATAAAAAATAAAATAATAAATATTTTGTATTAATTATAAAATATCTTATAATAAATAATATTTTTTATAAAATAAGAATAATATTCTCTTATGCACTTTTTTTTTATCATTTTGATTACATTTATTTTTTTCTCTTTATTCTTTTTTTTTTCTTCTCTTTGTCTATTTCACACCCTATATGTGACATCCTTGTATCTGAATTCAAAGTAAATAATTTTTCATAAATTTAAGAATTTGATAAATACAAAGCTTACATTTTTTTTATGTGAATTTGTAAAGACTTCAAAATGTTAAAACTTTCAAAGAATAATTTCTAGATTTTAAAAATAATAAATAAACTTAAATTTATATCTGACAAATTAATTGTTATAATAAAAGTTCTAAACATTATAATTTCTATAGTCTGACATTTAAAATTCTTTACAAATCTTAGACAATAGAAAATGTAATTAGAATAAAAGATTATAAATTTTTTCAAATTACTCTAATCTCTACATAGCAGTCTTTCTTCTAATATCTTTGGATTATGATCTTAGGAGAGACTAGCATCTTTGTCTCTTCACTTTCATTATCTGAAAATATTAGTAAGGGTGAGTATTTCTCGTTCCACTAAATCTCTTGTTGAACATAAGCAAAATGATTATATATATATATATATATATATATATATATATATATATATATATATATATAGTACTAAAAATATTTTCTAACAGGGACTTAATTAGCAATGACACCTAAGTTGTACAACTTACTATCACAACAGAGTACACACAAGATAACAATCAATCACATATACAAACTTTCATAGCATGCGTCTTTCTACTAATCTGCACATTATAATACATGTATTATACAACGTCAATCAATATGTCACAATATATGTGTTCTAATCGCACCCGTCGATGTATTACAACACATATATTATAGCAACATCAACCGATATGTTACAATGCATATATCATAATCATACAATTTCTATACTACTTCATATACATCACACATTCACATTCATTTCACTTTCATATTCAATGCCCATGTAATCCCTTGAGGACTTCAAAGTTTAGATAGCCGCTAGATAGCTGCAACATCACATATACAAGTGTCCGCCTCTAGCCCCTTTTAGCAAAGGTATAGTCAGGAGTTTCGTCAGGAAATGAGTGTGTGGCCTGTGAATGCTTTCATTTTCAACAAATCAATGTGCACTCGTTCACACTGAGTATTCAACACCCTCATTTTCCTAAGATTTCTTAAATTTTCTCCGAATTCTATACTCCCAGTGTATCTCTGTAGCTATTTAAACTCACCACCAATATTTCTCATTCTTTTCCACACCCTTTTTATAGGACGTGTCATAATACGTGAATCTTAACCACATAACTTGGTGTATTACAATACATATATTAGGAGTGCACATTTTGGTCGTACCACAATACCTGTATTGCAATCACATCCATTTATCTATTCCAATTTTCGTATTATAATCACTTTTATTACAATTTCACCATCATATCACATTATTTCATTTCATACATCAACTGTATCTTTATTCAAGAATAACATACACTTTTTCTTTAACAATCAAATTCAATTAATATCAACATACCTCAACCATCAACAACATTAATCCAGCACAGAAAATCATTGAATGATTTTGCACAACACACAATCAATACAATCTACCAAAGGTCGGACACCTCCAGACTCAGCCCAATCGTACAATCCAACATTAATAAAATCATCTATCCTAAGGTTTAACATCACAAACATTCACAATATCTCTATTATTCCAAGACCTCTATATTTTAGATTTCAAGAAAATATTAGGGATCTATTAGAAAACTTAGTGTCTTCAATTAAAAGAAAATACAAGAGAAGAGTTAAGGTTTGGGATTACTTTCCCTTACCTCAAATGAAGACCCAACACGCTATAGTAGCAAAAAAATGTTCCCCACACGGTGCTTCGCCCCTAAAACATGAAAAATCTCCATGAGCAACAAATAAAACAGAGAAGGGTACGCAATACCAAAATCCTAGCTCACAAAACGTACCTCTAAACGTCTCAAACACCACCTCAACCTTCAATCTTGCTCACAAACGATTTTGGAGGCTATTTAAATGGCGAGATAAGGTTTTAAGTTGAGAGAATCAAAGAGATTTCAAAGGAAGAAATGTGAAATGAATTTCTCGAACCCTATATCTCGCTGTAGCGAGAATACAACAATTTCACCCCTTTCTCTCAAGATTTTCTCGCTACAGCGAGAACGCCACAGCAGCACAACTTAGCCTATATCTCAATCAATTACAATCCAATCACAAGTTCACATTACATATTTAAATACACATTCAAACATCAATTCATATTAATAATTAAATAATATTACATAATTCGGGACGTTACATTATAAAAATATTAGT